TCGAGTTCTTAACATGTCCTGCAAAAGTATACTAGGATTACTGCGAGAGCTACAGTAACAAGATTATATATTTCCTCCTGGAATGAGCTAACCAGTCGGGGAAGCTTTATACGTATACTATAAGGCATAAAAATTGGCTATATGAACGACATTTTTTACATCCTTTAGAGACAAACTTCTGTTCAATCATAAGCAAGAATATTCTACCTTGTACTTCCGCGTTTTCTTTTTGTTTTCATGTTTTTGTTGGAGAGACAAACATATAGCTTCTATGGAAGCGTCTCCTGTAATAGAGAACATAGATGATTCTATTCCCTGCTAATGATTTTGGTGGTAAAATCCAGAGTGATTATTAAAGCAATTGACCACAGATACAATCTGTGAAAAACATACTGTTAGCTCTGTGGTTATATTTGACAACATCCAGGTCATCTTTCTCTTCAACATAGGTGTCTACCATTGGAAGTGCATCGCCAATGCCACTCGACGAAGCATTCAAATTGAAATTGTCTGCCTCAAGCAACCTATCAACAAAATTAGCTCTTCGATCTTCTTCGGTACTGTGTACGGTACACAACACTTCCTCTGTGAAAGTTCAAAGCAACTGTATTAGAGCGATTAAGATATTGCAAAACCAGAACATGTGTGATAACTTAGAATGGTAACACATCAGCGACATGTAAAATATTTAACAAAAGATTATGTCGTATTCCCTTTATCTTACATCATATGGGGTAATAATTTCACTCAATACCGAAGCGCTTTTTAACAGCCAAAATGTTTTGAACAAATTCTAAACACTCATGCAAAATATAGTTGTTGTACAGTTACCATAGCTGATTAATAGCTCCACAATATCTGGACTAGTGAGAAAATTTTGATTCAGACAGAACATGTCAATATAAACATAAAGAGAAAGATGATAATAAACTAGGATAATCAATCTAAAATTATGTGACATTGCTGAACATCAACTTCAAATTTTCTTTAAAAAAATTAAGCAAACACCAGGCACTGCAACAAAATGCATAATCACCTTGTTTCCAGTTCAAAACTAGAGAGGCATAAGGCTCCGTGATTGCAAAGTGAACGGGTAAGTCAGAAAACATCTTATGGAGAGCAAATGCTGCAACTCTGTTTTGTGCATCCTGTTACAGACAAGTTCACAATAAATTAGCATACTGGTTACATGTCAGCATATTATTCAGGCACCGATGATTATTTCCGATGAACAACATAAAACCCTGATAAGGTTCATAATCAGTAGTTTCAAAACTTTGAGCAACATTGTTAGACAAATCATAGTACACACTATAGACCTTTCTTTCAAGATGATCAACTCGATTTTTTTCAGAACTTAGAAAATCAAGGAATTATATTAAAACCTTTCTGTGAGAAGATATATAGACCAAACTTCATTTAGTCAGAAGGCCCTAATTAATTACTTTTAAGCCTCTTGTTCAGAGAATATCTTATGTCAAAACATGGATCAAATGAAATGAGTACCTCAATAGATTCGAATACATCATCTTGATGAGGAAGCTGAAGAGTTACCAGACCTCCAGCTTGTCTGTTTTTACCCCGCCCAGTGGCTTTACGCAGAATGCTTACAGTATATGAGAAATTCCTTCCTTCAGTGGATACTTTATTGAACTTTGGTGCTTCCCACCCTGACCTTTGACACAACTGATGGAGAAATGCCTTTGGGACCTTTTGCGCCTCACCCTGTAAAATTTTACATGTTAAAAAGAGAGTATAACAAAATAAGCTTCCCAGTAATAAAGCTGACACTAGAACAAACCAAGCAGCGCAGTGAAAAAAATAAAGCTTACACATTGTAGTTAGAGTATGAAATTCCATATCTATTAAGCATAATTAGAACTCACTTTACTGGATCATAATGTCAGCATATGTGACAAAAGCAGACATATACGTGATAAAAGCATTAAAAACCTTTTACGTGTAATAGTATATTGAAAGCTTAATCATATTTGTCCTAGAATCTTGTTTGATGAAGAGTTACCTTCTTCCAGATGCCCTCTAGTTTCCCGATATTTTTCTCACTGCGTAGTTCACTAATCTTTTCCTTATTCTGTAATTCCAGGAGTTCGTGGGGAGAAGCTTCAGAAGGAAATAATTCTTCTAAAAATATATCGTCAAGGTCCAAACCCTTTAAATTATCATCCGATGCAGCTAATTCTTGTCCCACTGAACATGAGGGAAGAACTTCAGGTTGATTTTCCTCAGATCCCCAGGTGTCAACAGGATTTGCACCCAGAGGTTCCGGCTCATCTAACGGCTTCATAGAGACAGCATCAGTATATACTGACTCGTGAACATTATTGGGCATGGGAGAGGTTAATTCTTCTTCCTTAGGATCTTCCAAAGCATGTTCACGCTGAAACTCAGATTCCAACGTTGCTTCTGATATACCTGCACAACAAACACATATAAGTTATGACCCGCTGCACCAATCAAATGACTGACAGATCAATTACACTAAACAAATAAACTTAACCGAGAGCAGATATCTCTTGCTTGAGCTTGCGAATGGCTAGGCCTGCTTGCTCCTGTCCCTTTTTATCCCGCTTATCTTTTGCTTTTATAGCATCTGATCTTGCCGAATAATATTCTTTGGCAATCACATCGAAAGGCCTTGGACCGGTTACCTAGTATGATTTGTGAAAACAAGATATGACAACAGAAAAACAACATAAAAATCAGGAAGGCAAGGCCAATATGGTGTTGCAAAACTAATTGATTGAGGTATGTTGCATAATATATAAAAAATGAAGAATCGTTCCACTTCTATCAAATGGGGAAGAAACTATACTGATAGCAAGTTGCCACCAGCAGATTAACAAACACTACCACACCAAAATAACAATTCATGATCCAAATTCAAGAGCTTCATAGTTTTGTATAAGTGATATCTCCATCAAACCAAAAGCATGAGCGAATATTTATCATCTAGTAAGATGCATAAAAGATAACATGCAAAAAATAAAGCAAAAGTATAAGCACATCCACATCAATGACGGAACTGGCCTAACTAAGCAGCCTACTTATATTCCATTTCGTTGACATAATGGAAGGAAGCCTGGAAAATAGTTTAGTTACCTCCCTGCTGAAGCCATCACCATCTGCCTCATCTTCCCAAGATTCTGGTTCCTCCTGAAAAAATTTAAGTCAATTCAGATTCTTTCTGTGGCAAGAACACTAGGCTTCTGGAAGGTTGAAGCATTTTTAAATGAGTACCTCTTCCTGTCTTCTCATATATTGACGTATCCACTCAGCTTGAGATGATTGGCCAGAACTAAGAGGATCTTCATCTTGCTTGCTCTTCACTCGAATTAAAACTTCAGGCTCCTCCTGCTTGGACTGCACTGAAGAGTCAGAAAACTCATTCCAATCTTCCCGTGCAGTCGATATAACACTTACAGAACCACCTACAAGCATCCATCAAATCACAATTTTTCTCGAGAATATTACAATCTTAAAAATTGTTTATGGTGTTGATTTGATTCCTTACCTCCTGTGGGAAATCGAGAAGCTCCAGTAGAAAACTTCACTGGCAACTCATGACTCGGCAAGTTCAAGCAGAGCCAATCAAGTGCAGCCTCAAACGTCGCACCATCCTTAACGAAACATACACATTGTATCGGACATTGTATTAGGGAAAAGGTAAATCACACTGAGACCTAGACGGAAGTTCTAAATTCCAAACAAATGCGAGATGGTGAGAGCGTTACTCTGAGAGAGGAGAGAGCGAGCTCAATCTGATCATCGACGAATCCTTCGCAAGAGAGCTTCTCGTAGACATTAGTGAGTTTCTTTGCCTTCTGATTTTTGGAAAGTGCGCTATGGATAGGTGCCGGAGCCGGAGCAGGGGTGCGGCCAGAGCTGAGCAAGAGCCGCCGCAAACGGTCTTCGTTCTCAGCCGAAATTTGAAGCTTTGGACCTGAAGAAGGTTTCGGATGGTTCGATTTTGATGATGAAGACGAAGTAGCTTTGTTGTTGCTTTGCTTCTGAGGTTTCTTCTTCGGAGCCATTTTCTTCGGATTTCCGTCCGATCAAAAGACGGAACCTGAGAGAGAGACGGAGAAGAATATTGAAAATTTGGGTCTGTTGAGTAGCAAACACACAGCAACTGAGGGAAAAAAGGTTTTGGGCCTCAGGTTCTCATTGGCCTTTTCTATTTGAACGCCCAAGCTATAATTGATTTTTTATTTTTCCCAAAATTATTGTTATAATTTGTTTTTTGAGAAAGAACCAAAATTATTAATCTTCTTACCAAATCGGCCAGTATTGTTGTAAGGGGCACACTTGTTTGAAAAATAAAACTAGGTTCAGCGAGACAATTTTATGTATATTGCTAAAATTTTATAATTTACAATAAAAATCGTAAAATTATATTTCAGTTTATCCGTTTAAAAAAACTAAATGAAACAAAAATATTGAAAGTGTTATAAAAGTGAAATAGACAGTGGCATATAATATTGAAGCTCATCGGATAATATTTCACACTAAACTTTTCTAAATTTATTATTTCTGATAATGTAGCTGAAAAAGTAATTGATAATGTAGGTGGGTGTAACTCACTACTTCTTTACTATAAGAAAAATGAATACGAAAATAAGTCAATACTAGTAGTTATCCACATATGTCACTATACAAAATTGACCCCAAAAACAAAATAAATACACACGCTATTAGAATTTTTCTACTGTTTACAAACACTGCCATTGTGAAGAGATTTGGACAAGAAGACTTTACAGTTTAAACTGATTTTAAGTAAACACTAGAAGTAGTTGGCGAGTCAACTTTCCAACGTACTAAATAAGATAATATTGTCTTCACCGTGACACAACGGTCATCAAGCCTTTTCCCAATAATATTGCTGTAAAAGCAAAGAAACCAAATCTATTCCACCCAACAAAACCAACCTTACCAATACAAATTATACCATACCTTCTTCTCTCTATCTTTTTTGCTCCTCCATGGAAATGAAAGAAACTAACCAAGTCGAGCAACATCATGTCGACACTTCTCGTCCTTTTAACTCAGTAAAAGAAGCTGTTGCAATATTCGGCCAACGGATTACACTACCGGGACAAACACATACCGTAAGTCCTAGAATCAGCCACACCACCTCTTTGCCATCTTCTCCATGGAAGCAACGAGCTTCAGTGCCTTCCTCTCCTCAAGGTCCAAAGGAAGAGTTTATGGATGTTTTAAAGAAGCTTGAAGCCGAGATAACGGAGACAAAGACAGAGGTGAGGATGTTGAAGGAAAGAGAGACAGAGACAGAGGTGGCTTTGGCTAACTTAAACGCTGAGTTACATAAGAACATGTCAAAGATGGCTAAAGCCGAGGCTGATACTGCAGGGAAGAGCGCGGCAGCAGCAGCAGTAGCCATGGATAAATCGGTGAGCTTTAAGGAAACGAAAGAGAAAGAAAATGGAGAGGAAGAGAGGAGGAAAGAGCTGATGAGGAGGATGGAGAAAGAGTATCCCACATTGGCTCAGATACTTGAGAGTAACAAAGGAGTCAAGGATGGGTATTTTGGGAAGAGTAAGAGGAATGGAAACAAGAAGAAGAAACCCATCGTTCCTCTTTTGGGAGATTTCTTCTTTTTCAAGAAGAAAGCTTCTTCCACTGAAATTTCTGCACCTTTTTACACTAAACCTTCCACTTTTCTTTTTTAGCTGAAACTCCCAAGATCCAGAGAGAATCATGTACACTAAAAGTGTATATATGTATGTATGCATGCACATTAATATCTATGTGAATCTGTCTATTTGTTTGTGTGTGTGTGTGTGTGTGTTTTATATGTTTGTCTCTAATTCTTTGTTTGGATTTTGTGTGCAAAGAAGCAATGTGTGTTCCCTCTTTCATCTTATAATAGTTACCTATCAATCATAATCAAATATCAGATTGTGAGAATACAGTCTAACAATATACTCTGTTTTCCAAGGTTTTGGACTACATTTCATTGGATAATGCAGTGTGAAGTTTTGGGCAACATATTCAGTTTAACTGGGCTTATAAGCTTTCAATCAAAGATGAAAGAGGGAACACACATAAACACTAATGACAAACTAATTATTAGTGTCATTTGTAAGTAAATGATGTAAGTATTGTTGTTTTAGTGTCATTTTGAATAAATGATGCTTTCTAATTTGGGGAAAATGCTCAAAAAATTCCTGAACTTTATGAAATTTCACGTTTTATTCCCCAACTCTTGATTGCACAAATAATTCCTCAAAGTATGGTTGACTTTACCAAATTGGGTTTCAATTAGTCAACATTTAACATGGAAATTGATTCCTTTAAATTTGTAACATTATCCGTCGGGATTTTCAGTTCAAGCTCAAAATTTTCAAACTAAAAACATTAAAGGAATTTTCCGGCAAACTTCGACGATTTTTAGCAAATTCCAACATATTTTAGTGATTGTATCAATTCAAAATTTGAGCTCCGAAATTGGTTGAAAATTGCTAAAAATTTCCGGAAAAAGCAGAAAATTCTCTTAAAGTTTTTAGGTTTGGAAATTCTGAATTTAGAACTGAAAATCCCGACGGATAATGTTACAAATTTAAAGGAATCAATTTCCATGTTAAATGTTGACTAATTGAAACCCAATTTGGTAAAGTCAACCATACTTTGAGGAATTATTTGTGCAATCAAGAGTTGGGGAATAAAACGTGAAATTTCATAAAGTTCAGGAATTTTTTGGGCGTTTTCCCTTCTAATTTGATTAATTTTTAAGTTAACATCATTTTAACAAATGATACAAAATAAATGACATTAATAATTGGTTTTCTTGTAGTGTTATGCTAATGGCCTGAGAGAGGATACATCAGGTTGTCTCATACACTTTTAAATCTTGCTCCAAAGGTAAAGAAAAAGACATTTTGGTTATATGGATTATGTTGACTTAGCATAATAGCATAACCGTCATTTACACATTATACATTAAGAAAGTCTCTTGACACTAAAAAGTTCATATATTAGCATATCGTATCAGTGTTATTTGATTTACCTTTAGAAGTTGTATGCATACTCCGCACAGGGCAGTGCGTATGAACAAATTTTTGAAACAATGGTTTACGGGCCCTGATTTTTTTAAATAATTAAGGGTCCATTTTTTTCTTAAATATCAATTATATTAATGTAACAATACAATAAAAATTAGAAAAACACACATAGCTCCTTAAAAATATTAAACAAATGAAGTTTTTATTGCTCATTGTTAATTTTTTTATACTATAGTTCTGTTTCCTGTAATATAATTATACAAGATTTAGTTTGATTTATGATTTAGAGTAAATTACTAGCAAAAACTCAAATATTTATTTAATTTATCACTTCAAAAAATGTATGATTTGTAATTTTAGATCATAATTGGTTAAAACAAAAATTTAGATTATAATTTTGCGAATTTGGAGACAATTGCTTTTTAAATCCGTTGTTTTTTTTTTTTTTTTTTGTCGACAGCCTCTGCTTCTAAACCAACTCGGAATCCAAGTCGGAGAAACAGAGTTTACATAATACACATCGGTAGGTAGAACTCTAGCACTCCGTGCTAACTTGTCCGCCTTCGTGTTCTTCGTCTTGAAATATGCACTATGGAAAAGGAGGTGAACTCCATTTTACATCTGCAAATTCCTCTAGTATTGTTGCAAAAGCTGGCCACTCCTCGGGTTTAGACACCATCTTTACCACATCGGAACAGTCCGTTTCGAAACACTATTGTTAACTTATTCTGTCGTAGCATGCACTGCATAGCCCATACCAACGCTTCAAGTTCTGCTTGGAGTGGTGATATACCCCGCCTTAAGTTACACGTACCCATAAGTTTTCGCCCGTTTCCGTATTGAAATTATACCAACCTAGACCCGCTCGAGGATCTGTGGCTTTCCATGATCCATCAATCTGACAAATTTCACCCTTGAAAGATAACTCAACCGAATTCCCCACCAAGAGCGGTGTTATCTCTTGTTTTTCCTGTGCCTCCGCCACGCTACCGCCTCACTTGCCGCGTGGTTAATAATATCATTAGGATCTGAATCATCATTGGAGAAGACCTTGTCGTTTCGGGCTTTCCAAATAAACCAAATCAACCAGGGATACATACCCATTCTTTCATCATTTGGTAGATTCCAGAACAGATGAGCAATGTTTGTGAACAAGCCTCATGTCGGAAAATGGTCAAAGGCTGTAGGAATTGGAGATAACGCCCACACCTGTAGCGCTGGTGGACATTCAAATAACATATGGTTAACCGTTTCCGGAGCCATACCACACTGCACGCATTGTGGGTCGATTTGAATACCGCGGCTCCGTAGCCGTGCCCCTACAGAAATACACCCCGTTAACACTTGCCAGATAAAGTGTTGTAACTTCTGGGTACATTTCACTTTCCACGTGTATGCTTGAAGTGGCCTTATATCCGGATCATACTTAACATGATTTGCCTCCATCTTCTTGAGGGCTTTCTTCTCATATCTTGTGTAATGTCCACACCCACTTCTCCAAGTTCACTTCTCTAAACATTGGCTCTGATACCAATTTGTTGGGCTTTCATAAGCCCAGTCCAACTCCCTCACAAATCCGTTATTTATATTATACAAATATGAGATAATGATAGCTAACTGGGGGCCTTTTTTGTTATCACCGTGGCTCTGTATCTCTGAGAACGGCTCTAACTCCGCAATAATACTCTTCATTGGTTAATATTAGCTTTTGGTCTTCTTCTAGTTGATGGAGCTATTTTCATTCAATTTGTTAGTCTATAAATAGTGCAAGAGTGGATTTATTCTTCGGATAGTCTTCCGCCACACTCTAACTTTGTAGTTTTTCTATTTTTCATCAGTTATCACTTTGTAGTTTTATTGTTTTAGCTTAGCTTAATCTTTCATATTTTTACTGACCCAAAAAAGTATAATTATTTGTCACAATCATGATAGTACGTTGAGTTACTAAATCTAATACTAATAAATCAGCAGTCACTTCATGGCTTCTATATTTGACACGTGTTATATGTATTTTCCTTTTTCTTTTCATTGCTTTATTCCATTTCTTTTTTCTGAATTTTTTTTTCCTCTACTACGATCTCATGATCTTCAAACGAAATCTAACCTCCGACGGTTATATTACTCATATTATAAATATATAATCTGCGAGAAGTAAGATATAGCCTTATTCATGTTCTCATATTCTTGGTTTCTGGATTTTCTTTTACTCTTTTTACTCAGATTTTTGAGTTTCTGTTTAGATTTCGTTTCATATTCTTGGTTTCAGATTTCTTTTGACTGAAATTGAGATTGATGTTCTTAGTTTAATTTCAGATACTACAAGATGAAACTTCTCGATTTCTGGGTTTCTTTTCAAGGTAATTCCAGATACTATATTTAACTTGATTTTCATGTTCTCAGATATTAAATGCAAATAACTCTTTCAATGTTTGATTCCAGTTTTGCAGCTTTCTTCTGATTCCGATATGTGACCTTAACTTGAAATTTTCCCTCTCTCACTCTCGATAAACAGTTCATCTCTTCTGAATTTCAGTTTTTTTTTTTTTTTCTGGGTCTTTTTTCATAAATATTTTTCATTTTTTTATTATTCTGTTTTGGGATTATTCTTGATTACTCTCCTGAATGTAAATGGGATTATTTTTCTGAACAGGATTTCAGGTACTATTGTGATTAATTTACAAGATGGAGCTTTTTTCACACCCATTGATGAAAACAAAATTTGGAGGAGATCGGAGGGTATTTGTTTGGAATTGAAGTAGAGGAGGAGGTTATTCTTCTACATCGGCTGTCCAACATTTGACATTTGTAGAAGAGGTTTAGAGATCCTTATTACTGGAGAAATATTTCAGAATTTCGAACTTTGTACAACTGTTTTACAGTTATAAATTTGCTTTGACTGGAGTTAATTAGGTTGTCTTCGTTAATTATGTAATCATCCGTTTTCATTTTAGAGAGTTCATCTATCTTGGATTCTATTTGTAACTTCAGTTTAGAGTTTCTAAATCAGAAAAATAAAAACAGAATTATAAAGGAAATTTCCAAGCTATAGTTTCAATATTGATAACGTTGTATAACTAAAAGTCTAAAACAGGTCAATTTTATATTGCGAGTACATAATATTTATCTTCTATCAATTTTATAAAGAGTTTATTATTATAAAAGCTTATGGCCGTGCATAGCACGGGGCAATACTAGTACATGAATAAAACGAAAAATACAAAATAAATCATGATAAGAACATTTTATGTTTTGTTTTTGGACGTTTTCAAACACTAAATGCAAACAACAATATAATATAAAAAATGATATTACTAATGTTTTAACCGATTAATATATGTGGGTGTGGTTTTCATATTCATTTCATTTTATCACATGTTCTCATTTTTTGTTTATTATTTACTTAATATTCGCATAAAATTGTTTGTTTACTGAAACATATTGTTGAATTGCAACATAAGCATATTACATATGTTTTTCTAACTGTTTACATGATGATATTATATTATCTCAAGCTTGAACAATTAGGTAATACACTATATGTTTAGTAGGTGCATGATTTCAAGCATAAGAAACAATTTACAGAAACACTACGTACATAATATGGCTACCATAGCCAACAAAATTAATGGAGTCGTCAACCTGTCAACCTTGTCATCGGGATTGTGTTGACTTCAGTCTTCATACTAGTAGAAGGCGGTGTTTGATTCCATCGTGTTAATATTTATGGAGCACCCGTTTGAAGTTGGCACTACAAGAAGTTCTGTGTTTAGAGTCAGTTATTTTGGTAGTTAGCATCAGTTTTTAATTGACACTATAATTTTAAGGTCAGTTTAAAAAGTGATTCTAAAACTGCTGATGCTAAAAATATCTTGTATCAGTTTTAGAACTGACTCTAAAATTCATTGTTAGAGTCATATATAGTGTCAGTCTTGTAAATGATGCTATACCAAATTTTGGAGTCAGTTTACCATAACTGATGCTAGCAATTGAATTTTTTCTAGTATCAGTTTTCACAATTGACTCTAAACACTGATTTTTGTATCAGTTTTAAATAGATACAAGCACTAATCAAAATAACATTCTGTAAACATTCAAATTGCTATAATAAACTGTTCAAATTGCATATATCTACTTTTGTGAAGTTGAAGAAACTGAGGTATACAAAAATCTACTTTTTAATCTCATAATTTCATATATCTTAAGTACTAACACATATTTTTCAATCTTATATGATAGTTGAAGACATCCAGATCATCAACACCTGTTTTGTTAGCCTAGATAAGAAGAAATATAGATAAACAAATTTGGATTTGTTGGCTAAGGTAATATGCAACTATGATCGAAGTCAGTGATAGGTGAAGAAGTCAAATTAGGTTAAGTATCTTGTTGAAACTAATGAACTGTAGCTATAGAGAAATCAATTCTACAAATATACATAATATTCATGATAAAAATTTGGTTGTTTTTGGACATTTTCAAACATTAAATGTATACAACAATAGAGGTAAAAATGAAATTACTATCATGTTTTAACTCAATAAAATATGTTGCCATAGTTTTCTTACTGATTTCGTTATATCTTTGTAATTACTCATTACAAATATACTATTTTTCGTACTTGCATAACTTTATCATGATCGTATTTACATATATACACATATATATATATATATTCATTTTATCATATTTGCTCAAATTTTCCTTACAATTTACTTAATATTTTCTTATTATTTGCGTAAAATTGTTTGTTAATTGAAACCTATTATTGTTGAACGCTCACAAAAGTTTTTTAATATCACACATATCATTAATTTTTTTATACAAAACATTATCTAATAACAAAATATAGATTTGAAAAGCTAAAAAATAATATAATAATTCTATAAAAGGGTAAAAGACATGAAATATATCTTATTTTGTCGCTGAAAAAGAATATTTTTTCACCAAGTGAGAATCCAAAGAAGATTTTGATTAATATATTTAATGTGCTTTACTTTTTTATTTTGATCACAGTTTATAACTCTTTAGCTCATTCCCGTTTTCAAGTTCATCGAGTTGGATGACATTTCTCGATGTATGCTGAGACAAGATGGCTCGAGAGCGAACATTTTCGGAGAAATGGAGGAGGATGAAACTATCTGAATAACCATCTTACTTTTCCAAGAATAAATTGTTAAGTGTAATCTTATACTCCATCTGTTTCACAATATAAGGGCTTTTAGAGTTTTTGTTTTGTTGCATAATATAAGGTGTTTGAGGTTTTTATGCAAAATTAAATATATTTTTGTTGCTTTTTACTCTTTTAATGATGCAGATTGCTTTTTCATTGGTTGAATTGTATTGGAACTAATGATAAAACATACTTTATTTTGAAAGCTTAAAAAATTAAATGACTTCTTAATCTTTGTGTCAAACCCTAAAACCCCTTATAGAATGAAACAAGTTTACATGAAAATATTACATTCTCTTTATATATTAGCAGTTATGTTAAACTAGAATATGTCATATGTATATGTGGGATATATAATAAATTTACAGCTTTTTAAAATTTATGGAATAAATAAATAAATTAAAAATAAATTACTCGTGAAACTCCGTCATAATTATTCTAATGTAACGTAATTAGATATATTTTATTTTAGTATTTTTTTCTTTTTTTTACTGACATTAAAAAAAACTCTATATTTTATTTTACCTAATTAGCAAATTGGACAATTGCTTCTTATTTTGTTACTTTTCTATTTTCAATACTTTCTTCATTAAATTTATGTGTTGACACATATTATCATCTAATCTATATTATTTATGATAGTTGATGAGTTATAATTTTCCTATGTATCACGACTATATCTTGCACATCCAAGTTTATATAATAAGATAATTAAATTAGAATATACACATACGCAAAAAATTATAATTGAATATTTTATAATTTATATGAAAATATAGAAAGTTGTTAAAGTTAATAAGTAACATTAGCTCTTTTGTATTTTTACTATTATTTGAGAAAAGGGAAAATTAGCCATAAAACACATATCATGAATTCATGATCGTGTGTCAAGATCACCTCACCCACTCGACTGAAAAGATAGGAGACCTTATGATAAGTTGCTAAAACAAAGAGGAGCATAGGATCGACCCGCATCTAGCTTTATACTAAAAAGATATAAAATCACAAACTAGGGAACTGTACGCAAAGTGAAAACACAGAACCAAGTCATCAATGAAACTTGAAAAATTATGAAGTCAGTCTGAAAAAGAACTTTTCTTATACCTTTTTAAAGACTCTTAACATCGAGTCTGTGTGACACAAGGAACCTGTTTCTTGAATTAAAACACCACAAGAGTCGGAAATAATTGCCGACAAAGCCAATTGTAACTATTACTAGACGTTTTCATTGAACCTTGATGTGTTCATTGAACATCTTTTATTTTACTTTTATTCTTGTTCCAACAGATTTATCAACAATGTGGTTGGAAAAGAAAAAAAAAAAAAAGAACAACAACAACAATGTAAAAAGGATCCATACATAAAAGGGAGCTAGAAGTTACAAACAGAGTAAAAAAGAAGACAGAAGTATAAAGCTGACACACAAAGGTATATCACAAAACCCAGAGATGTACACCAAAGGGTCTTCTTCTTAGAACTTTTTCAGCAAAAACATTTTAAAGCTTGAGGTTTCTCAGGAGTTGACCCCATCTTGGAGTGTCCTCATCGAAAATGTAGGTAACAGGTGATACTAAAACCCCACTGCCTCCGACCTACAACAACATTGCTGATCATTCACTAGAGAAACCAAGAAAGTGTTTATATTACTAAGCAAGAAGCTGTGCAGAGAAGAATACTAACCGCTCTCAGTTGCTTCACAGAGGCGTAGAGGGCCTTTTTTGGTACACAAATCACAATGGCATAGTAGTCAACAAATGCTTTTCCCTCTTCTGTACAGTAAACTGGACTTATTGTTGGTCCCTGAGAGAAGCCACAAACAATCAGTGAGAGATAAAAACAAAAAGAGAAGCTAAGACTTGAGAACCCTTCTGCAACATTACCTGTAATCCTGACATTGATAGTTGGTTCAACACACACTCAGCTACTTCATCAGCACTATTTCCTCTCATGTTTGCAACAACCTGAAATGAAGAACATCAGAGAAAAGAAAGATAACAAAATAAAGAAAGAATCATCAAGATGCATACAGTGAATTGGCCGTCTGCTTTCAGATGAGCCTCCAGTCTCTCAAGAATCTCATGTACTGTGTTTAACGCGCCTTTTCTCTCTGTCAATGCTCTTCTGCTTGCCACAAGAACCCCCTGAAAGTATCAAAAGCATTAGTCACCAACAACAGTTGTTCTCTAAGCAGAGAGTTTCAAGGCTCCAAGAACTTCACACTCACCTGACTTTCAAGCACAACACCTCCTTCAATCTCTTTCAAGTTGTTCTCTTTCAGTGTTGTCCCACTACTTACAAGGTCCAATATGGCATCAGCTATTCCCATCTAATTAACAACAGCACATATGTCAACAAATACTGAAGAATCATTGATAACACACCATAGTTTTAAGCATCTTAGTGTTGAAGAAGAAATATTATATGGCTTAGATGTAAAATAGTGTAATCTTACCGCTGGAGCTGCCTCCAGGGCTCCATCAGCAGTTGAGAAGGTCACATGATGTATGCCATTTTCTTGCATGAATTTGGGACCGAGCTGCAAAAAAACCAGTGGAATCATTCCCAAGGATTATAAAAAAGTCTAAAGACATACATCCTGAGAGTTATTTAAATGACAACAGCGCACCAAAAAGGAGAATCTGTAACTCATCATACATAAGTGAAGCCAGTGGCAACGCGTAAGGGTCTCTGCTCATTCCACTGTGGCATTTGTGCTAGCTCCTTGAGAGAATTGATGTTCTCAAAAATCCCATAGTTAGGTATCTGAGATCATTTTGAGATCCAATAAGAAAACCATCCACAGTAACTAGTATGAAGAACCAAAACCACTATAGATTAGAGCATACCGCAATGGACAAATGGCAGTCTCCAAAGTTGAGAGCTTCATGGACAATGATAAGATCTTCATTTTCCTAAAATATGAAAACACAAACATCTAAATTGTGATGCAAAAGAGGCCTTCCAGAGACAACTCTATATTCTAAATCCTAATAACTAATACATTGTGAAAATGATATCAAAGTTCTTCAAGAGAAGTGTGATGGTCTTTTAACTTACCTGACCATATTCACTAAGTGTGTCAAGACCGACGATACCTAGATCCAGATCTCCTGAGAGTAACTTCCTCACAATGTCTTTTGGCCGTTGAAACCAAACTTCAGTGTTTGGTAACTGAAGAACATGAAACCAATATAAGTCATGATGAAAAATATAAACCAGAACACAACACTGTGGTCTTGAGTTTGCTTCTAATGCATACCTGAGGAATTTGTGCAACGTATTGCCTTGGATTCACTTGTTTGACAAATAGTTGACAGTCCTTCACACAACAAAACAACAAATGATCAAGAGTCAAAACAAGCTATGAGTTTACAAGTCACTAAAAGCGACACTTCAGAGATTTGGCTTCCAATGAAGCTTTGTCAACGATCCGAGGAAGAACAAAAAAAACTTTTTGGTGTTAAGAAAGAGATCATCAAACGCAAACAATCCTACATTAGGAATATGAAAGTTGAGGAACAAAACAACAAAACAATCAAGAGAGTGTCTACCTCCTAATCTCCAACAAAGAAAAATATATCAAGACTCGATCTTTTTAAAGATCCAAACTGCCTAGTTTCAGTAAAAGAAATCGCCAAGAATTGACCTTTTAAAGATCCAAACTTTCTACAAACAAACCAAATCGCCTTAAGAATATGCAAGTTGAGGAACCAAACGATTAACAGAGTTTCTACTTCCAATAAACAAAATAGCCAAGACTCTTATTTTTCTAAAGATCCAAACTTTCTCCAATTAATTCACTAAACTTAAAACTAAAATCCCAACGACATTCAAGTAAAAAAAAAAAAGCAGCGTGTGGAAGTTCTCAGAAACCATATAAAGTTTCAAAAGAGATTATGGTCAACGCATGACGAACACAGAAACAAGAAAGCTACTTATAAAACAAATAAGTGAACTAGTTTCTGTCGAAATCAGTAGAGAAAAAATATGATTGGCCCTCTAATTAAAAGAAGGATTCGAAGTTAAACACAAGCAGAACGAACCAAACAATTAACCAACAGAGTTTCTTGCTCCAATAAACAAAATAGCCAAGACTCAATCTTTTTAAAGATCCAAACTTTCTCCAATTAATTCACTAAATTTAAAACTTAAAAGCATAACTGAGTATCAATCAAATCACAACGACATTCAAGTGCAAAAAATAAAATTAAGCAGCCTGTGGAAGTTCTCATTAAGTTTCACAAGAGATTATGGTCAACGCATGAAGAACACAAAAACAAGAAAGCTACTTGTGAAAAAAAAATAATACATAAATTAAATTAGTCTCTGTCGAATTCAGTATGATTGGTCTCTAAGCATGATTAGCAAAAATAATAAATAATCTGACTTTTGAAGCGAAGACTAATCATTTTCAACGTTATCGAATAACCGCATCGTGAAATCACCAACCTTGAGAAGATCGATCGCATCGGCGGCCATGCGTCCTTTACTAGGAAGACCAAGACGAATCTGTTCTCGCTCCACGATCACAGCGCCGGGAACGGGAGCGGGAGCGGAACCGTTGGCGACGGAGATTTGAACGGAGGAGACGCAGGAAGTGACCAATCTGAGGCATCTCCGGCGAGTTCCGACGACGGAGAAGGCGGTGGAAGGTGACGGGGAGAGGAGAGGTGGTGATGGCGAGAGAGAGGACGAAGGGCATTGTTGTAAATTGGATGGAAGAAGGAGAGACATTTTGTTGTTTGTTGCTGTGGTGTGTGTGTGTGTGTCTCTTTGAGCGAGTGAAAGGGTTTTTATTGAGCGGAGAAGAAATATAAAAATTGAAGAAGAAAGGTCGCAGCGAAGCGCAGATAGATACTGAATTATAGATTCTTGATCCCACCATGTTGGATATATTTATTTACATACTTTTTATTTTATTTCTTTGTCGCGAGTCTAGTGACTGTGAGTGTGTGGTCCTTCATTATTTATTTTTTATATTATAACGTGGAAAATTGGAGAAGACTTGCTAGTTGGGGAAAAAAAAATACATATTAATGTATTATTACATCATTTTTAATTTTAAGTAGTACGATATATAACAGTAGAAAAACTAGTGGCATGAAATTTAGCATTTCAAATAAAAATAGTACTAAATGAATCGTATATACGTGAATTTCGATTGGTACCATATCTGTGCTTAGTAGAGAAAAAAATAAATATTTGGCTGTGGCATTTAGTTTTGCAAAAAAAATTGATGTTTTCTGATGGCGTATCAAAAACTTGTGTGCAGAGAGTAACCAACCCCTTCCTCGTAATGAGGTTGACGTATTATAGAGAGATACATACCCAAATGATAGAAGTTTCAAAATTATTAACCTATCATCTTAGTGAGTTTTGTTATTTTCTATAGTGGTCCGACTTAGGAGCATGAGAAATTTAGTAGCTTATAATGAATAGTAATTTATGGAGTGTTCATTTATAGAAGTTCTACTGTATGTGCGACAAGTCATTTGTCCATACCGTTTACCTGTTTGAGATATTTCCGACGAGTTTCAATGACAGAGAAGGCGGTAGAGGGTGACTGGGAGAAGAGAGGCGTTGACGGCGAGAAGAGGACGATGGGCATTGTTGTAAATTGGTTGGGAGAAGGATAGACATTGTTGTTGGGTGTGGTGGTGGCTCTTGATGAGAGTGAAAGGGTTTATATTAACCAGAAGAAAGGTCACAACGAAAAGCAGGTACTGACGATAGATTCTTGATGTCACTTATGTGTATAATTGGAAAGCATTTTCAAGCGTTTTCATGTTTTGTTTTCTTTGTCGTGACCTTCATTATTTAACTCTGTATTTAAAAAAAACCTTAAAAACTAGAAAGAATGAACTTCAAATTAAGGAAAATGTTAGTTGATCCATTATGTCTACTACTCATTCTGTTTCAAATTACTTGTCATTCTAAAATTGTATTTAGCTCAAAATATATCTATATACATTTCTAGAATGACAAGTAATTTGAAAAGGAGGGAATAGTAAATATAATGGATCATTTAACCTACTTGTATCTCGTTATTTCGTTTAGAGCATACCAGATTGGTGATAGGGAAAGCGGCATACGTGTTCTGGAACCTGGAGGAGTTCCCATTCCTTGCTGGTTGGAGTCCTGATGAGATCTATGAGAAAATCGAATAACATGTTGTGTAACATGTTAATATGGGCTTATGTTGATGACAAGGAAGGGTTATGGGTTGGAGATTTTCTGAAAAACAAGACTTGTAAGTCAACTAGTCAAGTATCTACTTCGTTCCCGGAGGAGGGGATAAGATGTAAAAGAATGTTACATGACATCCTTTTATGGGCAACAGACTCCTTTCTATCATCTTCCAGTAGAGTTGGTCATAGTATCAGATAAAGATAAGGAGGGACAAGGAGTTCTCCTCTAGGCTTAGAGTGTTGATCTCTTGTCCTTACAATGTTTGGTTCTTAACTCCGACTGAAAAGGCACATGAGACAGTGAATGGCTAGCATCGCTATCAGATGATATTTACATTTTTTCTTAGTTAAGAAAAAACTCATAACCTCATTCCAAAAGGCTGAAATCAAATTCATTAAAATTCCATAAAAGGCTGGACAGTATTTTATAAATCAGTTGCTTTGAGTGCAGTTCCATTCTTTTAAATTCAACCATTCAATAAGTGTTGAAATATATCAATTCAAAATAAATGTGTGATGAGTAGAAACCAGCCAATGTATTAATTTTCAGTTTAGTGTCATTAGACTATGATCAATGGACAACCTCTCATGATTCTTATTTAATTTTTTTGAGTTAATTTTATCTTAAAATATCTTAGATAGATTATATTGTTTTTTTTACTTCAATGGTAGAACTCCATTGGGGGTTTTCTTTTTTAACACTGATTTTCTAATGTAAGACACATTGTGAGAACTGTTACAAGACAATTCTACAAAAGACAATTCTACCATATTCAAAGGCTCCAAGCTCCACCTGCACTGACAATTCTATCGTATTCAAAAGACTCCACGACGGACGACTCCACCTGCACCAATCTGTAGACCTCTTGTAATCTTGTTTCCATTAATCTGCATAAATTATTAGCAAATCGCACTCTTTGGGACTCAAACAGTCAAACCCTAGACCTCTCGGCAATTACTAGGATTTTATTGAGTTTTTATTGATGGCATTTTGGACTTTTGAAATCTGAGAGTGAAAGAGAAAGCTTCATTCTCCAAAAATATAATATGAAGATATTAATTTTGTTAAGAATACTAAAGTCATTTTAATCTGAGAGTTAATGAGAAAAATATAATATGAAAATATTAAGTAGATATTTAATTTCATTAAGGATTGAGAGTTAATGAGAAAAATATAATATAAAATTATTAATTAGATATTAATTTCATTAAATATAATAAAGTCATTTTAATCTCAGAGTTAATGAGAGAGCTTCATTTTTTAAAATCAATTGTCAAATAATAATATAGAACATTATGACATTTGGATAAAATATACATTGCCGTTTGAATTGAAGATGGTGTTAACTTTACAATGGCATTTGATCACAAACATTAAGAAATTCTTGCAAATTGTTATAATCTATATAAGCTAACCATGATCTCCTCTAGAAATCATAAACAATATGGGAAACAAATATTATGCTTTGGTTTTTAGTTGGAAATCATGTCCCTCTTTTGGTATTACATATAAGTGAGTCAATGACGCTGACTTAAGACCAGAAAACACTAAGACTTTGAGTTTCTTTAAAAGTTGTATATACGTTATGTTTTTTAAAGAATATTGGAGAAAAAAAAAATATGGCTTTGTTCTGGTTATTATATCTCTCCATCCATCTTTTTTCTTATAATTTTGCTCAAACTGTCAAGGTAAAAGAAGGACAATATTAATATCAGTTTTGAATTAGAATATACTATATATGTTTGTATGTTGACTCGTATATCTAATGTTTATAACAGGAAGAAATAGAATACGAATGTGTTGATATCTATAAGCAACCTGCATTTCAACATCCTTTGATGAAGGATCATCAGATTCAGGTATATGATTATTAGAAAATTGAGCTTATACCTCTAAACACAATTAACGTTTGTATAATCATTAAAAATACAGTAGAAACTCTATAAATTAATAATGTCGGGACTTTGATATTTTATTAATTTATAGAGTTATTAATTAATCGATTTTGTTAATTTTTTTCTGTTTTTAATTATGATAATATTTTAAAAATTTATTTATATTAAATAAGAAGTTTCCTTATATTTTCTTAACTTTTTGTTTTTTCTTTAACAAAAAAATGTTTTTTTCAATTTGTTTTTCAATATTTATGTATTTACTCTATTGTTTACATTTTTTCTTACTTGTCATATTATTTCAAGTTCAGTTTTTTCTTTTCGTTTCCATATTGTATTCGAGGTGTGAGGTTTATGAAACACACAATCTTTCACTTATTATATGCAAAATCATTTCCCAAATTTCTTACATCTAAAAAAGAATTTGTGATGCAATAAGAAAAACTATAGATGAGCTTCAAAGATTTCAACTTTAAGAATGAACAAACAACATTATTTTTTTTTTTAATTTATATTTTTTATATGATGATTATTAATTTATAATATTATTGGGACCATATTTTACAAAGGAGTTTCAAAAATATTATTATCTTATTATCTTATCGAATTGTGTTATATTTTACACCGGCCCAACTCGTAGAACATTTTATTAATTTATCGAGTATTAATTTATAAAGTTTCTACTGTATTTCATATCAATTAATTAAGACTATTTCTCTTAAGTCATTAATTTGGCTGTTTCTGTCCCAGATGAGACCAAGTATCGAGTTTCAAGCCATTCTATCAATGGAGTCCGAAAAATCAGATATGTCCATTGGTAAATCTGAAGAACGTTGTCCTAAAGGACAAGTACCAATTCACAGACCGCAAACCAACTATACTACTAATAACTTTAGTGATCCGAATAAAATAATTTCAGAAGCCAATCTACAAGTAAGTATTTTAACCACGGCTAAAATTAAGATTTATTTTCTTTTTACGATTTTATTCTAGATCTTTTTTTTTTTTCCGGGTTAGTATGCACTTATTAGACAATTTGAGAACAAGACAGAAAGATGGCGTGGAGCCCAAGCAGTTTTCAATATCTACAGACCACGGGTGTTGAAGAATCAATTTAGCAAGGCTTGGGTTTGGCTAAATCACAGAGAAAAAGATGCAATAAGCAGCATCCAGTTTGGTTGGGCTGTAAGCATACTACAAACTCTATCCATGTATTTAAGGTTTTAATTCTGTCAAAAAGATCTATTTCTCCTTCATAATTTTCATATAGCACATATGTCAAGAGTTATGTTTTTATCATACGATTGATCTGTCTTTTTAGGTGCATACAGGATTATATCGAGATGATCGTCCAAGGCTAACAACATACTGGACAGTAAGTGTTACTTACTTCATATTTAAACTAAATTGTCAAGCTTAATGGCAAAGAAGTATTTTTAAAAATTGATATGTCCATAATCAAATATGTATGCCTTAACTATATATTACAGTCAGGTAGGCATCAAAATGGATGCTACAACGCCTTGTGTCGTGGAGGCTATGTCCAAGTCCATAAAACAATCTACCCCGGTATGGTTTATCATAAAGTTTCTGCTATAGGAAGAAGACAATACACTACCCGTCTTCTCGTTGCACAGGTAAAAAAACATACGTTACATGATTTACATATACATGTTAATGTTTAGAATCTTATTTACATTTATAAACTACCATTCATACAGGATTCAAGAACAAAAAATTGGTTGTTAATGTGGAGAAAAGCCATAATAGGCTATTGGCCGCATCGATTGTATTCGGCGCAAGGAGCGTCGCAAGTTTACTTCGGCGGGTATGCAGGCGGGCTAGATGGAGCTGTTAGCCCGCAGATGGGGGCAGGGAATTTTCCAAGATCAGTGGGGTTTCGAGGAGGGGCTTCATGTTTCATGAAACAACTTAAGTATTTCGTAGATGGACAAGGACTTGTCGATGTTGCTTCAAATGACTTTGAGGAATATGTGAGTAGTCCAAAGTGTTATGATGTGTGGTTTCGCAAGTTCGAGTTAGGCAGTGGAGAGATGCTCACGTTCGGTGGTCCTGGTGGAGAATGTGGTATCTAAGAAATAGTTTCATTTTCTGTTGTTGTTGTTTCATAACAAATTATTTTTTATTTATTTGTAATTTCAACCCCCTATACATATCCCCAAAAATTTCATAATGATTTTGATTTGTTGTGCCTTTCTAACAACGATCAATTTTTTAGGACTAACAAAGTAGAGAAGTGCAGAATCTTTCTGCTCTTTTTTATAAAATACAAAATAATTGATACAAATAATAAGAAAACTTAACCATGAAAAAATTTGATAATAGTGGAAAGAAATGAAATCACGGGTCTAACATTCCTACGAATCCTGTACATATGAAAACATGCCCATTTGGACCCAAACCTAACAAGATCCTTCTCAGACAAATTCTTGTCCTAAAACTAGACTACGACAAACACACAAATCTCATAACCAAAACGGAAAAAAAATCAACCAAACCGCTAAAAGACGCTTAAAATTTCAAATTCAATGCTTCATAAAAATTAGTTTTCTTACACATCACTCAGAGCTATTTGAGTTGTCATCTCTACTATCATCATCATGATCGCTCTGTTGTTGCGGCTGCTGCTGCTGCTTCTTCTCTCGATGTTCCACCGCAGCATTGTTGTTCACTTGTTCCGCCTCTGCGTTTGCGTTTCCACCTCTGGAATACGCGTTCAAAGCGGTTAGCATCCCAAGATTCGAGTCCGGCATACTTAAGCCTAGACTCTGATTCGGTTGCTGCGGCTGAGCTAAGAACGAACCTAGTTGAAGTGGACTTCCTCTGTATTGATCCACCGGGAAACTAAACCCTGTTCCCGCCATAAAATGAGTAGCACCTCCGGCTCCGGCTACAGCTCCACCTCCGGCCGCAAACGGCCACATATGAGCACGGTTGTTGTTGTTGTTGCTGCTGCTCTCCATAGATGCCGGCTGATTACCGGCGGCGGTTGGTACCGGAAGCATCCAAAAGGTGTTTCCACCAGGAGACCTACTCGTCGCCCACATCGGAGCCGCCGCGCCAGCAGCCGGCGTTTCGGATTCCTTCAAGGACTTGTTCTCGTTCTGTTTCCGATCATCGTTTTCCTTTGACAACTCATCCGATCTAAACCGTTTCCTCGAGAAATTCTCACCGTCGGATCCTGGAATTGTCTCCGCCGGAGCTGAATCTAACCGTTGGTTCTGATGTTGATGTTGATGTTGAAGATGGTGATGAAACCCTAAAAGCGGCGTCGTGTGAGCACCAAAGGGTCCTCCTTGTTCATCGTAGTGATGATGATGCTGAGTCAATCCAAGTGCGCCGTAGAGAGGCACCGACTTCGACGGCGGAGCAGAGAGAGTCGATCCGCTGTTCCGGAGAGAGACACTCAAAGAGGAGAAGTTCGCCGGGATGGTTCCAGTTCCGGTAGCAGCGACAATCGCCGGCTCCGCTTGCTGGAGAAGCCACTCGATGGTTTCTCCGTCGGATTTATGGCCGAGCTCTCTCGTCAACTGGAAAACCCTAGCGGCGCAGAGAGCCGGCATCCTGATCCGCCGCCCTCTTCCGTCGACTTTCGTGTGACGGTCTTTCGTCGAGCGCTTCGTCAAAACTCCGGAAGTAGTCGCCGCCGCGGCGGATGAGGTTGTGGTCAGCGCGGCGTCTTCTGACGGCGTAGATCTGGGGACGATTGAGAGAGAAGCATCGACTAGTTGCCGAGAACCTCCTCTAGCGGCGGTGGCGGCGCCGTCGTTGTTACGAACGTCAGAGAGATCCATTTGTAAAGGGGAGAAAAAAGGGAATGAAATTTTGAAGGAAGTTGAAATTAGGGTTTGGAGAAAGAAAGAGAAGCGGCCATGGATGCTTCGATTGTCGACTTCAAATGATATCGCTTAATGTGTTTGACTCTTGTCTTCTTCCCAACATCGGAGAGAGAGAGAGAGAGAGAAAGAGAGAAAAAGGGTTTGATGATGTAAAAGCAGGTGGATGACTTTTCCAGCGAGCGGAATAATTATTAAAATTAAAGAATTCTTTTGCCGTCATTAAATTAAAGAATTAATTATTTAATTTGATTGTTTAATGTTTATCATGTAAATCAAAATTAATTAGGAAGGAAACGGGTAAGGATATGAAAAAGACTTGACGACCTTCACAGTTTACAAGGACAAATGAGAAAAATTACGCATAGATGCATTTAGATAAAAGTCTTTTTAACTAAAAGCTCTCTCTTTCTCTTTTCCACTTCAAATCTCTTTATCGCTCTAATTTTCTTTATAGTTTTCTTTATTCATAGAAGAAACGAGAGAAATAATTTGCTTTTGGGAATTTTGTTCTGGATTTTCATGGATGCCTTTAGTGGAAGATGTTTCAATCAATGTTACATCGTTAAATTTGTTTGAACCTGGTTAAATATTATTCTATATCAGCCACTAATTAGTAATTACATACATTATGTATAAAAAAACTACGGAAGTAGTGGGACACAGAAGTAGCAAAGTAGATTCGGGGAGAGAGAGGTACACATTAAGGTTCTGAATGGTGACAACATATTAAGCGGTATGGGAAAAATGAATTGAAAAAGCGGTAACTACGGAAGTAGTGGGACACAGAAGTAGCAAAGTAGATTCGGGGAGAGAGAGGTACACATTAAGGTTCTGAATGGTGACAACATATTAAGCGGTATGGGAAAAATGAATTGAAAAAGCGGTACGGTTTAACTGCGGAACAATATAACTTGCGGAACAACTGCGGTTATAATATAATAGCGATACAAAATAATGTTTGATTGGTGAAAGACATAAATTAATTTTGTTAATACAATTAACGAAGAAATAAATAATTTATATAATTTTCTTTTATAATTTTAAAATCTAGTTAAATTTATATCATACATACTCAATTTATATTATTTTGTTTCAAAATTTTATCATTATTAAAATATAATATACTATAAAAATGCACATACAAAAGTACAAAACACACCCAAAACCATGTGTACTACTGTGGCGGAGCGGATTGTAGTTTTCCTTCACAAAAATGATCCGCAAATGAACTTTGATTTGTTTAATAATTTAATTACATAAAACGCACCGCAGATACAAAAACTTGTTGATTGGTGACAATTAAGTGGACCCCACTATAACATCACTAAAACCGCACCGCTTTTGCAAGAAACGCAGCTCCCATTCAAAGCCTAAACTTTTATGTTTTTGAGTATAATATAAGTGTTAAAGGGATTTGTCAAATTGAGAAAACAGATAAGCATCTTTTTAAGACAGTGAAGCGTGCGTGTTTTTGCAGGTGGGGACAGCTCATCCCAATCCACCTCCGTATCTCCATTTCACCTTTTCTCTTGCATACAAATATTTTTTGTTTTTTTATAAGGTTTATATACATTTAAATTCTTATAATAAAATAAGGTAAAATGACATGATTTTCTCTTTACTAGGTAAAATTATATTGGAAGATAAATTACACATGCACATTATAGACTGAGAGAGAAGCAAGAGGAGATGTTGAGAGACTTGAAAGACTTTTTATGGAATAAATTACACATGCACATTACAACGGTTATTTATGGAACATTTTCTACCAAGCTAGATATTATTATATATGCGTAGACCGTGGCTCATTGTTAAGATAGAAAATGGCCGTTCTCTCGTTAGTAATGCACACATGCAAAATTTTAAAATTCTAATGAACAGTAATGAATAAAAAACTAAAGAACAAATTTTAAAGGTAAAATTTGATTTATGTTATTTTGGCCAAGCTAAAGATGACCTGAAAAACTTGATCCAAAAACTATTTGGTACAATATTATCGAATGAAATAAACCGCAACCTAATTGAGCACACCGCTACTATATTATTTTGTATGCTTTCCACAACATAGCTATTATAAACGAAAAGCACAAAAGTAAGAAAAAAGCCCAACAGCAGTTCTTGCAATTTCTGTCTTCTTCCTGATGACGGCAACCATGCTTCCATTCGCCTCCACATTTGTAGCAAGACGAATATCCACAGCTATATACATCCATCGACCATAGCAATCAATAAACATAATCAAGTTAGGATTATAATAGCTTAGAGAATGTGATTAGTCAGAGATGACACTACAAGAAAAGTGTTTTTTAGTGTCGTTTATCTTGTATCATTTGTTAAAAATGATGTTAACTTAAAAATTAATCAAATTAGAAAGCATCATTTGTTCAAAAATGACACTAAAACAAAGATATTTGTATCATTTTACTTACAAATGACACTAATAATTAGTTTTTAATATCATTAAACTAAAAATGACACAAAGAAACAATTTTTAGTATCACTTCTAGGTAAATGATAGTAATAAACAGTTTTTTGTATCACTTATAGGTAAATGACCAAAATAATTCCTATTTTTAAAAATGATTAAAGATGGTTTGAATTTAAAAAAAAAACAAATGCCGTTGAAACAGTAAAAGAAAAAAAATCAGAAAAGAAAAAAACTTCTCCTCTCTTATCGCGAAGCTTCGCGATCAGCTCGATCTCGGCGAAGCTCTAGATCTCCGATCAAATCACCATCACCGAGGTCACCGATCGCTTAGAACCTTCCCATCATCACCATCGCTGATCCCAGAACTCATTAATTAGGTATGGCTGAACTTATTTTGAGATTTTGGTCTAATTTGCATACTTAGTGATTTTGCTTGTGCTTTTGGTCTCGAATTGTGGAATCGATCTCTATTTCGTGTTCTATTTGCTCAAATTTCTCTTCCTTTTAGTTATTGTTGAATCGGAGTCGACGAATTTCTGGGTTTGCTCGATTTGGTTTTCCGGTGTATATTGAGTTTTTCTGGGTTTTTAGGTTCTAGACGAGAAATTTTGACAATCACGCTTATGTTGGTGTTGCCGTCACTTGATCGATTGTTTTGACAATCACGTTCTCTTAAACATATATGTTTCTCATTCTCGTTGCTCTATTGAATTTGAGATCCCATTCTCGTTGAATCATCATTGTGTATATAGATGATTTCTGCCTTTGGATGATTGCTACTGAGTTTGAGATCAGTAGATTTATGTACATTGGATGATTTCTGCCTTTGTTCTGTAGATTGCTGTACTTTGAATTTTGAGTATTGTGTTTAAAATGCAATTCTGACATTTCTCCATGAATGGCCATTTTGAGTTTACTGAGTAGATTGATGCCTTTGGATGATTGCTGCCTTTGTTCTGTACATGATTTTTGATTGCTTTGTGATTGCTGCCTCTGTTCTGTACATGTGAGTTTGATTGTTTCATTGTTTTAATCTGATAGGATAGTATTGAGTTGTGATTGTTGTCATTGTTTTAATCTGATAGGGATAGTATTGAATTGTGATTATTTCTTTGCAGTTTCTATGGATAAATCTTGGATTAACAAACCTCGTTTGTCTCAAGAGTATATCAATGGGGTTGAAGGATTCTTAGAATTTGCATTTTTCAACACTGATGCTACAATGCTAAAATGTCCTTGTTGTCGATGTTCTTTAGTTAAGAACAGATACAGAGAGGATATTAGAGGAGATTTGATGTATTATGGGTTTCTGCCTAGTTATAAAAACTGGCACTTTCACGGTGAACAGTTAATAGGAAATTCTACATCCGTAGAATTTCAAGTGATAGTAGGTTGAATGAAGATACTACAATGAATCTACTAGATGATGTCTTCCCAAATTGTGCCTGAATGTTGATGAGAAGCTGGTTCTTCTAATCAGCCATCGAACGAAGAAGAAGCTGCAGGTCAGTCAAGTCATTCTGATGAAAGAGGAGCGTTTGAAGCATTACTAGCAGAGGCTAATGAAGAACTTTACGAGGGATGCACTTCATTCTCAAAGTTATCTTTTATGCTGAAGCTATATCACATCAAGAGTATAACCAAGATTAGTGATAAGGGTTTATCAATGATAATTGATCTACTAAGGGAAGCGTTTCAACATGCCAAGCTGCCTGCTTCACTTCATGATTTAAAGAAGACCATTCATAAACTTGGACTAGATTATGAGCGTATTCATGCTTGTCCAAATGATTGTATGCTGTTTTGGGGAGAAGATTCAGAGCGAGAAGTGTGCAAGATTTGTAACATATCAAGATGGAAAGGTAAAAGCACAGAAGCAGAAGGAGAGAACGAGGAAGTGTCGGGAAAGAAAAGAAAGAAGAAAAGACAAGCTGCTAAGGTCTTGCGTTACTTTCCACTAAAGCCACGACTTCAAAGATTGTATATGTCATCCAAGAGTGCAGAAAGTATGAAGTGGCATGCAGTTGGAGAAAAAAAGATGGAAAGCTAAGACATCCTAGAGATGGGGAAGCATGGAAAACATTTGATCAAAAGTTTCATACTTTTGCATCAGATTCCAGAAATGTAAGGCTTGGGTTAGCTACTGATGGATTCAATCCTTTTGGGGCTATGAGTACAAGTTATAGTATATGGCCAGTTCTTTTGTTTCCATACAATCTCCCTCCATGGATAGCAATGAAGCAGTCTTCAACAATATTGTCAATGATTATTCCAGGAAAACAAATGCCTGGGAATGATATTGACGTTTACTTGCAGCCTTTGATCAAAGAACTGAAAGAGTATGGGATGATGGTGTTCAAGCATTTGATGCTTCAACAAAGGAGATGTTCTGTTTGCGTGCAGCTTTGATGTGGACTTTGAGTGATTTCCCAGGATTAGGAAATTTGTCAGGCTGGAATATTCACACGGGTTTAGCATGTCCTTCTTGTAACTACGATGCAGCTGAATTGCGTTTACAACATGGACAAAAGTATTGTTTCATGGGTCATAGGCGCTTTCTTGAGGAAGATCACATATATCGGTTTGATAAGCAAAATTTTGATGGAAAAGAAGACTTTAGAAATCCTCCAGTTACACCAACAGGCTCCATAGTTCTGCAACAACAAGAAAGTTTGATGTTGTTTTTGGAAAAAGCTCAGATATTAGTAGAAGAGTAAGGGGACAACAATGGAGAAAGAAGAGTATATTCTTTGAACTGCCATATTGGGAACATGCTCTGTTAAGACATAACTTAGATGTTATGCATATAGAGAAAAACGTCTTTGATAATGTTGTATCACATTATTAGATGACAAAGAAAAGTCGAAAGACAATCTTAAGGCAAGAAAAGATCTTCAGGAGATGGGTATACGTTCTGAATTATGGCCAGATAGCAACGAGAAGTATCTTCCTGCATCTTTCAAGCTAACAACTAGTGAGAAAGATACATTTCTTGGTATCTTAAAAGGCGCAAGGCTCCCAGATGGTTTTTCATCTAATATCTCAAGGTGTATTGATCTAAGGCAGCGTAGAATGCAGGGACTAAAAAGTCATGATTGTCACGTGATTATGGGTCACTTGTTACCCATTGCTATTCGTAATGTGTCATCACCAAATGTGACTTCTGTCATAACAGAATTTTGTCAGTTTTTCCGAGAGATATGCTCCAAGGTGGTGGATGTAAATGAGCTAGTTAATCTCCAAAAGCAAATTGTGATTATATTATGTCACATGGAGATGCTGTTTCCTCCTTCTTTCTTCACGGTGATGATACATCTGACCATTCATTTGACTGAAGAAATAAAGCTTGGTGGTCCTGTCCAGTTTCGTTGGATGTATCCAGTGGAAAGGTATGTTCTTAATCAGAGTTTACTTACTTTGAGTCTTTATCTGAGCTTACTTTGAGTCTTCATCTTGCTTAATTTTGTTTCTTTTGTAGGATCCTAGGAAAATTCAAATCATATGTCATAAATCATGCACAACCTGAAGGATCAATATGTCAACAATATATGGCTGATGAGTGTCTGACATTTTGCTCAATGTATCTTGATGGGATAGAGACATGCTTCAACCAAATTGGAAGAGTAAATGATCTTCCAATGTCTTCACATAATTTCAGAGAAAGCTCAAAAAATCCGATAGTCTTTCCATCCCTAGGGAGATGTAATGGTGCTAGTCAATATGCAACACTAAGTCTCATGGAGAAACAACAAGCTCATCGCTATATCTTGATCAGCTGCCCATTTCTTGATGAATTGCGACAGTAAGTATTTCTCCATTACATCTTGATTAGTTGAGTATACTAAACTAGTTTTTGAGTATACTAAACTAGTTTTTTCTTCACATTTTAGGAAGTATAAAGATGAGTTAAGAAGAACTCATACTCGTGGTAGGAGAAGACGCTATACATTAGATGTAGATAGAGAAGTTCATCTTAGGTTTGACAAGTGGCTTAGAGAGAAAGTAGAAAAGGATGAGACTGATGGTATTAGTGAGGATATCCGATTACTTGCTAAAGGTCCAAGTGACAAAGTGTTGAAGTTTTCATCATATTGCGTGAATGGATATAAGTATAGAACTCTAGAAAGGGATTCTGATTTGAAAACTCAGAATTGTGGAGTTTATGTTTCTGCCGAGACCATGAGCTATGCTTCTTCTCGTGATAACAATCCAATGGCTGGTAATGTTCCCTACTATGGTAAGTTGGTGGATATTATTCAACTTAATTATTACGACAAGTTCAGAGTAGTGTTTGTTCAAGTGCACATGGGCAGATACACGTGATAGTCGTGGATACAGAAGAGATGGTCTTGGTAATAATTTGGTGAATTTTTCACGTATTATACATAGTGGTGAAAGTGAGGAAGATGAACCATTCATATTAGCCTCTCAAGCAAGAATGGTATACTATGTTGAAGATCCAAGTGAGTATGGCTGGAATGTAGGAGTTCATGTTCAACCTAGAGATTTATACGATATGGGAGATTGTGGTTTGTCACCTGAAGAAGAATTAGTTGATGAAATGTGACTTGTTTTGTTTGTTTGTTCTTGAATTCTCATGTTTTAGCTTATGACTTGTATTTGTTCTTGAATTCTCTCTTGTATTGTTTGACTCATTAATAAGAAATCTCAGGTTTTGCTATCTCTTGTATTGTTTGACTTGTATTGTTGAATTCTCTCTTGAATTGTTTGACTCATTAATACGAGATCTCAGGTTTTGCTATCTCTTGTTTTGTTTGACTTGTATTGTTTGCAGATGGATGGCATTGATTCTCATGTCGAGGAAACACAAGATGTGAATCAAAATCAGATATATACACAAGGACGAGAGCGTGGAAAGTGGGTGGTAAATGTTATAGGTAAGTAAAAGTTTACTTCTCTTGAGAATGTATGACTACTTTACTAGGTTGTTGTTGATAGGTAAGTAAAAGTGGATGTTTTAATGTTGCAGATTCAGATTCAAATGTAACAGAGGAACGTCTCACTGCAAAAGATGTATGGGGAATGGAAAAACGAAGAATCATTCTAGAGTTTGGTCCACATGATCAACCTGATGGAGGAAGTGGTGGTATATTTGCTACATGGCTTGGCATGTTGAGTACGGATCTGACCAAGTTTCCCATAAATTATGATGATTGGAGGAATGTACAACAATGGCGAAAGGATGATGCTTGGGACTACATTCAGGTACATTTCTTAATGAGCAATTGATTATGGTTTTAGATAGTTGATTATGGTCACAGTCTTTATATCCTTAACTGGTTGATTATGGTCTTAAATGGTTGTAAATGCAGACTAAGTTTTGTTTTGATAGTTCAAACAAAAACTATAAAGACTTTGTGATGAAGAGCTTGAGTATGAAGTGCAAAAGTTTAAAAACTCGTCTATGGGAACATTTGGGAAGGAACAATCCTGAAGAAACTTTACAGCTCCGCCCTGACTTTGTTCCAAAAGAACAGTGGCAAGACTTTGTTTATATGCAGTTTAGTGAGAGAACTAAGGTAATACAAAACATATCTTTGCTTTCACAAGTCACCATCTCAAATTTTTGTTATGTTCTGTTTAGTTGCTAACATTTTTACATACGTGAGTTTTAGAATTTGAGAGAACAAAACAAGATAAGCAGGAGCCATTACAAGACACCTCATACTTTAGGGAAGAAAAGCATTTCTCGAAAGTCGAAAGAAATTGTAAGTTTCTGTCTGTTGTCTAAACTGAAATTCAAAGTTCCAGTAATAGAGAATGTCAACATAAGCGTGATTAGAATCACTTGTGTAAGTTAAGTGTGTAAAACTGATTTTTTTTTGGGGTATAATGTCCAGTTTCTTAAGACGGGGAAACGTCCAAGTCGTGCAGAAATCTATGTGAGCTCACGCCAAAAAGCTAATGGAGGATATGTTAATGAAGAAGCTCGTGATTTATCGGTCAGATTCTTTTTGGTTGCTTCATCTCTTATACATCTTTGTGAGTTTAGTTGACAATGTTGAGGAATTCACGTTTCAGGAAAAATTAACAGAGAAGATGGTTCACACTATAGAAGATGGTTCAAGTAAAGATGATGAATTCTCTCAAGTTTTTGGCCCCGAACATCCAGGTCGTGTTTGTTGTGTTGGGCTTGGTCCTACTCCTTCATCTTTCTTCAAGAATCGCATCTCCTATGAAACAGAAGTGGTAAGCTTGAGAAATACAGTTCGTGATCTACAAAAAAAATTGGACAAAATGAATGATTTAGAGGACAAATATGAGAAGATGAATGAGGTGCTTAATAGTCTTCTCAGCTCGGATTGCAACTGTAGAAGGTAAGTTGCATATTCTGTGTTGCATATATTCTTGTTCTGTGTTGCCTTATTTAGTTCTTGTTCTGTTTTAATGTTTTCAGGGCATAGAACGTGAAGATGACAGGATTATAAGGTAATTATCGTATAGCTCTTGCTCTTGTTCTGTGTTGCCTTATTTAGCTCTTGTTCTTGGTATGAATCAAGTTGGTAGTCTTAGCTTCTTGATACGTGTAGTATTGGTATGTTACTTGGACCAAAACTTTGTCACTTGGACCTGAAAAAATGTTGCTTGTTGTTTAATGATCTTTGCATTGTCACATTCTGATCATATCTTGATGTCATAACTTTTAGTTGCAATGTTGTTCTGAATTGGTATTGTTGTTGTTTAATGATCTTTGTATTGGTATGAATTGCTCTGAATATCACGATATTGTTGTTTAATGTTGTTCTTTCTTGATGTTTGAGGTTTGAACTAAATTTCACGATATTGGATTGATGGTTTGATGGTTTGATGGTTTGATGTTTATGATGCAACTTGCTCTTTATTTTGGCAGGTATACAAGGAAGAAGAGAATACACATTTATACATTTTACTATAATTAAATTTGAGGTTGTATACATTTTACTACAAGTAAATTTTAGTTTGATTACTATATAAGGATATTTTAGCTTGAATATATATATATATATATTTTAATTATAATCTTAATTTTAGTATCATTTATTTACAAGTGATACAAATACACATTTAGTATCAATTAAAAAAATGATACTAATCTCAATTTTAGTATCACTTAAAAAAATATACTAAAATGACATTTTAGTATCACTTGAACAAGTGATTCTAATCTCAGTTTTAGGATCATTTTTTTAAGTGATACTAAATGTCATTTTAGTATCATTTTTTTTAAGTGATACTAAATGTCATTTTAGTATCACTTGTAAATAAATGATACTAAGATTTAATTTTAGTGTCATTTGTAAAAGTGATACTAAAAAAACTTAGTATCATTGATTTTAGTATCATTTTCTGAAATGATACAATAATTCTTGTATCACTTTAAAAATGATATTAAACTTAAAAAAAAAAATGACACTAAAAAATATGTTTCTTGTAGTGTGATACCTGCAAGTTACTTGCAAGTTTCCACTTGAATTTTCATTCATGTGTTGGCACTTTTTACATTCATGCCACGGATCATCCATCGAGCCCTTTTTGATCTTTTTTTCCCAAATGTCTCTTAACTTAGGTGACAAAAGATTGGCACAGCTTTTAATAGTCAACTCAGAGCTGCAATCGTGTTTAGGGCATTTCATCTGAAAACAGCCTCTGAGTAGACTGTTCTCTACGTAATGTTTCATGCACTCCACGCAGAATTGATGACGGCATACAGCGACATAAAACATCTGCTCGGCTTCAAAACCATCTTCGAAACAAAATCTGCAAGAATCCTTCTTCTTCGTCTTCTGATCATCAGAAGCATGAGGAGGCATACATATGCTGATTTCAGAAACTAGTGTTTCCATTGCGAGCTTGTAAGCACTCTTGGTTTGATTTCCAGTCACAAGAACAGGTGTGGTAGATGTCAGTTGTTGTCTGATGCGTTCCACATCTTCCATTAGCAAGGCAATGCTATCTTTCTCAGGCACGGATCTTCCCAAGACCTAAACAACATTAAAGCCGCAAAACATCAATTTACGAGACAATTCATCTGAAGCAAAAGTTTAGGGACGTGTTAATTAATCTTACTAAAGGGAAAAAACTTGGCACATTTTTAAGTTTTTGTTCCAAATATAGCCCCAGAAGTTTTTGTTTTCCAATAATAGCACAAATTCAACTTCAACACAACTCCAAAAATAAAATTAATAGAAAAAAAAAACTAAACTCTAGATCAGACCTGAACATAATGTTTTGATGCTATATGTAATTTATTTATGATTAGCAAGTGTTTTTACAAAACAAATGATGTTAGTTTCGGAATTACTAAATTTTCATGTGCTAGATTTGAAACAAAAGCTATTTTTGTATTTAGGGTTTTCCTCAAAAATGTTTTTTTTTTTTTGCTGAATTACTTACCAGTTCAAAAATTTGATGATGATCGCAGCAGATTGAGATATGAGTAATCCCCAAAGTTACAGCTTCGGTTAGTCCTCGCTTCAATGCCATAAGCTCAACCTCCAAAACTGTAACGGAGGAGTCATGAAGTGATCCTTTCATCTGAAACACGATATTATCATTTTGGTCGCAAATTGCAACCCCAAATCCTGCCAATAACCCTCTTGTGTCCTCCCTTACCAAACCCTTGAAGTAAAGTCTGTAAGAGACAGAACCACGTAAGAGTGTTCCGGCTGTTTTTAAGCCACCTTGAGTGCCTTCTTTCTCCATGTAAGGGCAAGAGGATGGAAACATAATATATAGTACAACTCCATACAAGGACATATGAAGATTCTGAAGCAATCAAATAACTTAAAAGACACTTGAGGAAATGTTACGACAGAGAATGTTCATCATCAACTTTACATGAAGCATTCACTCGAATGGGAATGCACCATTTTCCACCAGTAACATAAAATACAAACAAATCAACAATAGAACTAAAGATCACATTACAACTCCACGGATTAGTGTTTTTTACTTAGTCCGGGTAACAATATTATGCGGTCCCATACACATATCACAAGTTTGCTACAACAATCACCAGATAAATGAAGTCCAGGTGTGTCTGATCTTCGAACTAAACCACCTCAGGCAAGCCATCTGCTGGAAGTAATATAGTTTTTCCGGTAATGGAAAAAAGTTTGATGCATGGGGAAGTTAAAACGTGTGCGGTGAGACAGTAGATGATTAGGGTCTGATCTTGTTGAAACGCCAAGCCTTTAAAGATCTAATGAAACCGGTGGGTGGAGAGATTTCATTGACTAATAGTTGAACTGGCTCGTCACAGATACAGAGTCACGCCTAGAGTTGGAATCTTTTGTGTTCAGCGAAAGACTCGAGAACTGAGAGTCCAGATCTTTGCTCGTACCACGTCCTTGACTTGCTGATGGTTTATGAGTTTGTTGTTGTTGTTGCTGTTGTTGCTGATACAGAGCTCTTAGTCTTCCAATCTCCTTTTCCAACACCTCCTGTTCCACTGGATAACAGAGAACTCATTAGCTTGTAGCCATCACTTAAGCAATGTTCAATCTTGAATTCTTGATAACTAGGTCTTACTTATAAATTTGAGAAAAGAATGTCTCAATCTTGATAACTAGCTAATACTTGCAAGATCATGCTTCACACTAGAGTTTGGATCTAAAGAAACTGAAAGATTATATTTTCTGAATGGAAACTTACATTGTTTGATCAGCTTCTCTTGAGCTATACTTTCTAGTCTCTGTTTAAGAGCTTTATTTTCCAAACTCAGAATAAGATTCCTCTGGTTGATAAATTCAAGCTCAGCTGAAACCTTTGAGCCCTCTGCCTATAAATAGATACCAACGAAAATCAATACTTCAGTGCTCCTGAAAGCTGTAATCTTATTCATTTATCACTAACTTAGCAAGGTTTGGTGTTTTTTAGCCTTACTTGCAATGCTTGCACATTCCTTTCTAGCTCAGATATGTACTGAAGCTTACGCACCCGTGACCGTTGTGCAAATTGCCTGCAAGAACGCAGCAACTAATCATGTTAGCATAATTGAAACTACAAACAATACCATCAATGCCATAAGTGTCTCTAATCTTTCTACTTGCCTATTCAAAGATGTGAGTTTTCCTCAAGTCAATAAGACCAAGAACAGTATTATAAAGATAAATCACCATTGTAAACGCCTTAGATTAGTTAAATGAATCAAGAACGAGTAAAGAGAAGACATACTGTTTGGCTCGTCTTGTATTGTCAGCCTCATAACTCCCACCAGGCTGAGGATTGGAACTTTTCTCCTCAGAAGGGAACTTTTTTGTGTCATGAGGAAGAGTTTTAGCGTAGTTCTTTGGCTCTGACATTACTTCTTGAGGCATATACGATGTTGCTCCCATCTGTCTCTCTCGAGTGAAAGGTAGCCAAGAACGAGGCCCGGAAGCCACCTGTCGATTCGTCTGTCTTAGAAAACTAGCATCAGAGTAGAAAGCAACGTCCTGAACATTTTGATTCCAGTCAAGTTCTTGGATTCCTCTTTGAATGGAAGAAGAAGAAGAAGAAGAACCATTCGCAGTATTCCTATAACTGAAATCATTCTGGAGTGTCAAGCTAATGTTTTTAGCATTAGCCATGTCCAAGTAAGCGTAAGAGTCGCTAGACGAACGCCGGTGACCGCATTTCCGAACAGGACTCTCTGGCTCGTTGAGAAGATCGTCAAGCCAAAAGGGAAGCTCTTCTACCAAGTTGCTCTCAGAGGAAGTCCTCTGATGGTGGTGGTGATGCGTTTTCTCATCGCTCTGCTGCTTCTGACCGATTGCTCTCGATGATCCGATTAAGCCGGTGGGGATAAACTCTGAATACGGCGCTGAGACGATCGGAAACGGAATCTTTGGAGGCAGCAACGCATGCTTTCCACTGTACATTGAGTCTTTCACACTCTGTGTTCCCTTGGAGCTAGCCATTGCCTGCTAAAATTTAGCAAGAACATCTCTTATTTGTAAATCAAGACTAATTAAACTATTGGACTAACCACAAAAGCAAGTCTTTTTGAGCAAACAAAGAGCTAATAAGGCTTATCAAATTAAGCAAATGAGTTTTGAAGATAACATCAAACAAAGATTATCAATGCACAACAATTCTAGAAACAGCATTACATTTTTAAATGTTGCTTTCTCATTAAGCATAGTGATGAAATAATACAGTTATTCACTTTGTGAATGCAGCAATTCTTGAAATAGCAGTTATGTTTTAATGTTTAATGTTGCTTTCTCATGAAGTTAGATTAACATTATACATTTTGTGAATGTAGCAATTCTTTAAAATGGCAATTATGTTTCAATGTATTCTGCAAAAAAAAATTTGATTGCTTGTTTTGGAAATAAAAAGCTGACACTGAAGCACATTGCTGTAGCAGACCAGACCTATTCAGACCAGACCAGACCAGCTCATCAAGTTGCTTTCTCATTAAGACATTCACTTTATGTTTTAGACTGAAAATTTCTCATCTAGACCTGAAAAGAGCTTCTTTAATTATCTAACTTAATCAATTAACCTTTTTCTTCTTCCTACATTTGAACAATTTTAGCATCAAAGCACTAAAAAATTGAGGATTTATAAAAAAAAAAAAAAATAAGTAGAACAATCATGATAAACAGATGCAGATTCGTCTTCGTTGTTACCATTCTCCAATTACTGATTCAATTCCCAAATAAAATAAGAAAATTGGAGGACGAAAAACTAACCAGTCGGAGAATTCGAGGCTTGAGACTGGATCCAAATCTAAGAAAAAAAATCAGAAAAAGAAAAGTTGGAAATGATAATTCTGCCTAATTCGGTTCACAGCAGATCGTCCTTCGTTGGAATCTGTAAAACTCTGTTGCCTCGCTGTCTTATCGTTGAAGGAGATTGAAGGAAGAAGAATCTCTCTGACTCTGTGAGAGAAATTTGTAGAAATGAAATTTGGTCCTGAAAAGGTAATTCAAAGGCTTCTCTTTAGTCTTAGGCCTTTTGTTTTATAAATTTTAGGCCCTTTTGTCTTAGGCCCCTTTTGTTTATTTATTAAATATATTTTTCCGTTTGTCAACATACTTTACGATATTTTTACATTTGCGCCAGATGTTTCTCTTACTTTTTGTTTTCAAGCAAAATTTGGTTTTTTTAGTTATTCGGAATTAACAGTTTTTTTACATGTACTATTTGTAGCATATGAAACTCTAGAACTCTATAAATTAATATTCGATAAATTAATAATCACCAGAAAATTATAATTTTTTTTTGTTACCATCGGTGTAAATAAGAAAGATTTAATAAGATAATAATATTTTTAAATAAGAAAAAATTTGATAAAATAATAACATAATAATTTTTTTCAAACTCTTATTTAAAAATATGGTTCTAATAATAAGATAAATTAATAATTATAAATTTATACATATATAACTTAATATATAAGGTAATTTATTAAAATATATAATCATGTTTCTCTTGGATATAACTCTTGTAATGGGTTTATAATCATAATAAAAAATGCATAATGTAAAAGGGCTGACAAAATTCATCTTCCGATCGTATCACAAAATCATTGGAATTATTAAGAACAACATAAAAATGTCTGTAATCAGAGACTGCCATGGAGCAAGCAGTTGCTTGCGGCCCGGTTGAGAATAAATAAAATATCGGCCGTATATTTGACAAAATTATCACATAGCTAAATTGGTTATGTGTCAATACGTAAATGAGAAGGAGCTTAATTCGAATCTATCACATTTTCTTTGACAACATCTAACATCAGTTGTTAATGACCTTGAAAATTATTTTGGCTGGCACGAATAAATAAAGGGAACTAAAATTAATTTTTTTTTTTTTCTGTCCATAAATTGAACATGAGTTATAATAAACAATTAAGATTTTCATTTGGTGGTTTGATTGCAATTCAGATTTTTTTTTTTTTCAAGATACGGTGTATTCTTGTTTATTATCTTCAAAGAAAAAAATTAACAAACAAAAATTTCAAAGTAACATGAAAATAATAAAACCAGAGCACAACTCAACACAAAAAGCTAAAACATTACTCATGGGCTTCATTTCTTCAATAATATGATTGTGAAGCTACGATTGAACCCTTCAAAATTCACAATTCCTCATACACTAAAATTTATCTGGCTTGAGACACCTTAAAAAAACAAATGAAAGCTGTTAAATATGACTCTTAGCTCTGCATCCATTTTTATTGTTGAGTAAGTGAAAAACATATTTGCATGAAAACGAGCTTGGCGAAGATGATCTTTAGCTATCCAAACACCAAAACACATGAACTTCTCATTTCTTTAATACCACGTGAAAGTCATTTTTGAAAATTGTTATCTTAAATTTTCGTATTTTTGTGTTAAATAATATTTGACCATAATGTGACCTCCCATGCAAGTCACTTGAAGATCTCTTCACTTTCTTGCATTGTCGTTCAGAATACACAGATATTCCGAAGCAACCAAATATCTTAACACTTTAGGAAAGTTTACAACAGAGAATGTCATCAACTTTACATAAAACCAAACCATTCACTCCAAGGGAATGCACCACTTTACCAATAACACAAAATACAAACAAACAGTAGAGATCATCATAATACAAATCCACAAGTCTGCTACAACAATCACCAGATAAACGAAGTCCAGGTGTGTCTGACTCTGATCTTCGAACTAAATCCACCTCAGGCAAGCCATCTGCTGGAAGTATATATATATGGTTTTTCAGGTAATGGATAACCAGGTGCACTGGTGAGTTAACTTGTTAAAAAAACGCTTTCGATTAGGGCCTGATCTTGTTGAAACTCCAAGCCCTTTAGAGCTAATGAAGACTCGTTGACTAAAAGTGGAATTGACCCATTACAGATACAGAGTCACGCCTACAGTTGGAGTCCTTGGTGTTCAGAGAAAGACTCGAGAACTGAGCGTCAAGATCTTTGCTAGTAGCACGTCCGTGACTTGCTGCTGGTTTATGAGTTTGTTGTTGTTGTTGCTGCTGCTGATAAAGTGCTCTTAGTCTTCCAATCTCATTCTCAAGCACCTCCTGTTCCACTGGATAATAGAGAACTCATAAGCTACTTTGCTACAGAATTGAATAGGCTAACAAGTATTGTATATATAGGAGTTACAATAGATTTGACAAGAGCACCAACAATTTGAGGTAATGTTCAATCTTGAATTCTTGATAACCAACCAAAAGTTGAGAGAGAGTTTGGATCTAAAGAAGCTAAAAAGGTTATATTTTTTTGGATGGGTTTGGAGAAACTTACATTGTTTGATAAGCTTCTCTTGAGCTATACTCTCTAGTCGCTGCTTAAGAGCTTTATTTTCCAAACTCAGAATGAGATTCCTCTGGTTGATAAACTCAAGCTCAGCTGAAACTTTTGATCCTTCTGCCTATAAAGATACAAACAAAATTGTAATCCAATACATCCTTCACCAACTCTATCTTTCAATGCAAGATTTTTGTATCCTTACCTGCAATGCTTGTACATTCCTCTCTAGCTCAGATATGTACTGCAGCTTACGCACCCGTGACCGTTGCGCAAATTGCCTGCAGAAAGCAGCAACTAGTCATGTTAACATATGAGTTTTCATGAAGTCAATAAGACCAAGAACTGAGTAAAGAGATCACATACTGTTTGGCTCGTTTAATATTGTCAGCCTCATACGTCACAGGCTGAAGATTTGAACTGTTTTCCTCAGAAGAGAACCTTTTGGGATCATGAGAAAGCGTCTCCGCATAGTTCTTTGCCTCTCCTGTTGCTTCTTGAGACATATATGATGATGACACTCCCATGTTCTTGCCACCAACAACACTCTCTCTTGGAGAAGGTAGCCAACAAGAACGAGCCGCAGACCCCACCAAAGCATCCCTCTGTCGATTCCTCTGTTTCAGCAGATTAGCATTTTGATTACGATCAAGATCTTGAACTCCTCTCACCGGAGACCTATAACTGAAATCGTTCTGGAGAGTCAAGCTTATGTTTGTAGCATTAGCCACGTCAAGATAAGCGTAAGAGTCACTTGACGAGCGACGATGGCCGCATTTGCGAGCAGGACTCTCTGGCTCGTTGAGGAGATCGTCAAGCCAAAAGGGAAGCTCTTCTACCAAGTGGCTCTCAGAGGAAGTTCGCTGGTGGTGGTGCGTTTTCTCGTCGCTGAGCTTCTGACCGTGCCTCAAACCGCAGGGGATGTACTCAGTGTACGATGCGGATACGCTAGGAAAAGGGATTTTTGGAGGTAGCAAAGCGTTTTTCCCTGAGTGCATCAAACTCCTAACACTCTCTGATCCCTTTGAGCTTGCCATTTCCACTTTTGCCTGCCAAAATAACAGTTAAAGACCATATCAAGAACTAAGAAGGCTGATAAATTTATCTTTAGGTGTTTGTGAAACACCATAAAAACAACTAAAGATTAGAAAGTTGGATTTGAATATTTAAACCATTGGATTAACTCACAAAAGCTGGTCCTTTTTAAGAACCTTAACAAGAAGTAAAACAAATCAAGAACTAAGAAGGTTTATAAAACTAAGCAAAATTGTTTTAAAGATAACATCAAGCACAGATCAATGCAACCATTCAAATGTTTGCTTTTTTCTCATTATGTTAGATCAAAGTGATTGAAGGGACTAAACAATCTAAGTTAATCACTAACCTTTCTTTCTTCTCACATTTTACAGAAGCCAAACTTAACAGTGAACATACCAATTGATTAGACGCAAAAAATAAAAATCGAGAATTTGTAAAAAGTAAGTAAAACCCGAAAGTATGTAATTATAAAGAGATGCAGATTCGTCTTCATCCTTAGTTATAACTTATGATTCTCCGATAATTGATTCTACTGAGAATTTTTTTTTATGAAACGAAAAGCTAACCAGTCGGAGATAAAAGGAAAAAGTTGAAGCGTTGAGAGTAGATCCGAAATCGAAGAAAAATCAATTTTAAGATGATAACTCCGGCTTGTTGCGTTCACCGGAGATCTCTGTTTGCTTCTCTGTTTAGTCGATGAAGGAAGAAGAATCTCTCCGACTCCGAGAGAAAATTTGGGGGAGTTTGGTCCTGAAATGGTCAAATCAAAGGGTTCTGTTTTGTCTTAAGTCCTTTTGTTTTTCTTACTTTTAGTATTTAAAAAGTCGTCCGGAATACTTTATTATATTTTACATTTGCCCCCGGGTTTTGTTTTTCCGCGGATTTGTGATTCAAAACTCAAAATAGGTTTCAACTTGGTAAAGAACTAAAGATTGTCATTTTACGAGTTTTTTATTTGGCATTTGCCAATGCTAATGTTCTCAACGACTAATTGACTTGACAATCTGCCATGAAGTTTTTAGATGCAATGGAAAAAAAAATGCATATGCATATCTATATTATTTTGTTTCAAATATAAATATTTTATTTTGTTATAACCAAATATTAAGTTCAAATAATTTAAGAGGTTTTTTTTATAATAATTATAGGTGATTCGGCTTTTCGTCATTTGACTAATCTTTTCAAATTGAGGGTAATCGTCGAATAGCCTATTATCCTAGTTTGTAAATTGATTTAAAACATCTTTTTTTTTCAATTGGTCAAATGAAAATGAAGATAACTTTCCAACAAATGGAAACCACGAATCCATTATCACTTAATTAATTAGATATTTTCTTACCTAAACTACTACATATACATTTTGAATGAAGATGGAGCAAATGGGAAAAATACAGAACATATGGTATAATTTTATATATAAGCATGTCCATACACAAAAATTTGTTACTATTTTACCTTTCCCATCCTGCATTGCCCCAACTCTATCCGGAATCATATGCAAAAGAGTTATAACCTCTCTTTTTGGGGTTAGTACTAGTAAAAAGTTTTTGAAAAAACGTTATAATATGCAGAAGAGCATAGATAGAAAAAGACATTAATCTACTAACAATTACACGTCATAAACACTAACAAAGGAAAAGAGGATCTTTTGTCGAAGATCATGTTTTTAGCATATGGGCCATTTATTTATTATTTTTCATTTATTTATATAATGATTGGTGAGTTGGAATTGATCTGTTACCTAACCTAAAGGCTAAAGTGCAACAACATGGGCCAAGTTGTTAAATATAATAATATGAAATAGACATTGACTATTATTTTATTACATTTATTATATTGTGTAGGTTCACAAAATGCCAAAAACAAATGTAATCTCAAAATTACATTTTCTCGAACATGTCTCTCAGAAACTTTACTTAAATCTAACTAGTAGAGTACCCGCACGTTTGTGCGGTATGACGTTGCAGTTTTGTGTAGAAAATTTAAATCCTAAATTCGAACCCGACCAAAAGACCTTAATCAAAAAAAATTAAAACCCAAACTTTTTTAATATGTCTAAATCCGAAAATCCGAAATCAAAAAAATATGGAAATCCCTGAACAGAACAAAAAATCTAGAAACTTTTTCACCCGAAACCCGATCCAAATACCCTAATCAAAATTTTAAAATATTCAAACTTTTTTTTAATATATCTAAACTCGAAAACCCGAAATCCAAAACATCTGGAAAACCCTAAACTGAAAAAAAACTCAAACCCAATCCGAGCAGAAATTTTCAAAGAAATCCGAACAATTTCTATATCTCTATAAAATTAGGTCTAAGATTTTCACTCAAACCCGAACTTATAAAAACCAGAAAATCCAAAAAGCATATTCTATTGATTTGCTATTATCGTTAGATTATGTTAAGTTTTTTTTTTCAGATTTCTAAGAGCTGGAAAACATAAGTTTTCTAAACCATCTGTTTATTTTAAGTTATTATTCTTGTATCCAAACAGTTTTTTCCATTTATTCTTCTATCCAAATAATTTTTTCTCTTATTCTTGTATCCAAATATTATAATCTACTAAATTAACATTAATTAAATCTGTTGCCAAACACTTTTTCTTTATAATTAGATTGGTTTTTTGGTCATAATTTTAATTTTTTCATGTATTTCTCAATTAATAATATAAATATTCTCTTGTTCCCAATCCAGTCCGTGGCGGCCCCTATCTTTCCACAACCTAATGATAATATCTTACTTCCTCCGTTTCAAAATACTTGTCATTCTAGCCTTATTTTTTTTATTCAAAATAGTTGTCGTTCTCACTTTTCAATGCAGAAATTTATATTAAATACCTGATTTAACCTTGATCTAATGAAGAATACTAATAGTCAATTTACTTTTTAAAGGTATAATAAAAAATTTAGTCTGTTTTATTAAACTGCGTGAAATCTCCTAGAACGACAAGTAAAAAGAAACGGAGAAAGTATTAGTATTCATCGTTAATCGCTGTTGTTAACTAATCATTAACCACTTCATATTATAACTAATCCTACTTGTTTTTATGTACTTTATATAATTAAAGCCGATGCGACCAAATATTTTTCTATTATCCATGCGTATTTATGAAGCTTGCGTGTATAATGTAAAGTTAAGTGGGACGAGAAAGAGACAATCACTATAACCAAATTATGGCATGCTGATAAAAAGTGATAGATTTGTATGATAAATGTATCAAAACAGATAATGTTTTGGTGATACGTAGAAACTAATGTAAAACGTGTCACAAAGTTTACCGAAGTAATTCTTAACGGATGATTTGTAATCGCTATACGAAAAATCAAATTAACCACAATTTTATTTTTATCTCCTTTTTGCCAACCCTCTATAAAATTTGGGTGTAGCCACGATCAAGCTACATCTTAGTTGTTACTATTCGATACTAATGTGTCAATAAAAAACGATAGCAAGCTACGAACTAGCCACTATTTAATGGTGACTAGTGGCCACATAAATCACTACTAAAAAGTGGATACAAGATTTTGGATAACCACGACATGTCCGTAGTAAAATGTGTGGCGAATAATTAGAACAACCACTAATGGGCCATAAATATGATAATAACTTCCGTTGTGCAACAACATAAACATGCAAAGAAATCGAGTTTGATAAGTTCACAAAACACTTTAACATCAATTCTTGCTGGCTAAAGATATTTTGTTCATCTAAATTCTTTGTATGCATTTAATCAAACACTTTTTCGGAAAATAACTAGGTGATTAATCAAGTTCAAGAAGTAATATCAATAAATGAAAGGCCTTTTAACAAAAATAAATAAATAATAATATCAATAAATGAAGAAGAAACCAATAGATAAATTCCTATCTAACAATCATAACTATCAACCCATGAATTGTCTTCAAACTTTGGGGTGGTGTTGTGAAGAATTATGGACATACGATTTAAAAATAATTTGGCAATGAAAGGAGAGATTCTTATTTTTATGTTATATTGTTGAATTATATCCATTTCAACATATTATTTTCTAGAAAATGATAAGCTCCTTCTAAATGTGCAACAATATGTATTGTTTCATCAACCCTATAACAGAGTCAAAATAACTTAGAACTGAAATGTGTTATCACTGATGTGGCAATCCCTAATAAAGGAGGGTGGTAAGGTTACTTGCAAAATAAGTTATAGACCCCATGAATTTAGAGGAAATTGTCTTAAAATAGAGAGAGGCATGGCGTAAACAAAGGCTTAAACAAAACAGCAAAGCCCTTTATATTTTCAATTCAATTCTCTCTCACCTCTTTGCGGGAAACAAAAACTTAGGCCTCAAGAAATCAACACGCAAAGAAACAATTCAATCAAAAACCTCTTTCTGCTCTCTCTCTCTTTTACAATCCCATATGTTGCTTCCTTGAGTTTATCTTCTTAAAAAAAAAAGAATGGGAAGCAACATCTGAGGATACATTGATTACCAGACATAAACTTATATCCAAAACAAAAGCATATATTTGTGTGTAACGATGAAATAGAAGATTGAGAGCAAGAAAGAGGTATATAGGTGATTAAACCGCAATGGAGATACAGAGAATGAGGCAGTTGATGTCCCTTTGGTCTAATTTGAAGAGTAGCCGCGTTTCTCTCACCGGTGGGAATCACACAGCCGCAAGGTTCTGCACTCGCTAGACTCGCCTTTCTCTCGAACCGTCTTCTTCTAATCTTCTCTCTTTGCTTTTTTCTCTTCTTTCTACTTCCTTTTTGATTTTCTTTTAGCTTTTTTTCTCTTCTCTTCTCTCTTTCCTCTTCTTTAACTTTCAACAAGCTTCTTGATTTTTCTAAGACATAACAAAAAGAAAGAAAATGGTGTTTGTTACTGTCCAAGACTTTCACTCCATGTGCCAAAAGCATTTTCACTACCTCTTGAAAAAAGGTGACCGCTCGAGCCCCTCTCTAGGAGGCTCTTCGGATTCTTTCCTCAAGGCTTCTCGTCCTGAGATCTTGAGTCTCTTCATGAGATCAACGCTTTTGGCTTTGTTGTTTCTGTCATTTACTTGGTTGAGTCTGCTCAAGTTTGGAACCGATGCAACCGCTGCTACAACTAAATCGGTCGAACCCAACCATGCCGATCTATTGCCTTTGCTTCTGAATGATTTAGAGAAGGAAGGTCTCTTCAGGCTTGGAGATAAAGCACTCGTCCTTAGAGGAGGAGATGATGAGGTCACTGTTTCTTCATACTCTCAAACAGTGATTGAAAGCGAGATGCTTCTTGTGTCCGCAAACGACGAGGAGACGCAAAGCACGGTTCCTAACGAGAGCTTTGATTTCGCGTTTGCGCATTCTCGTCACATTGACTCTGCTGAATTCATAGACCGAGCTCTCAAAGTTGGCGGCATCCTCACCGTCCAGCTCAACCTTCAAGATCTTCCTTCGAATTTCTTGAAATATTTGAACTACGAGATAGTCTACATGAGAAGCTCCGAGTACACGGTTATGGCGATGAGGAAAACAGGAGAAAAAGAGAAAAATAAGAGCTTAGTCGCCTCCGGGAGGAAGCTTCTCGGTATCGAAGAAGAAGAGAACAAGAAGAAAGCTTTGAGCAAGCTAGAGGATGTTCTCCTTGAACCACCAAGATCAGCTTCAAGAAAATCAAGAACCTACTCTAAACGGACACGGTACCTTCCCGACCTTATGGGAGACAGTTTGGACCTTGGGAGCTACTCGAGGAGGGTGTTCATCGACGTGGGTAACGGAAAAGGAAGCAGCGGAACAGAATGGTTTGTTAAAAACTACCCAACGAGGAATCTGAGGTTTGAGATGTACAAGATTGAGACGGTGAACGATGATGTGAGCCAAGAAGCTGATAACATGGGGATGACGGAGTGGCTGAACGAGAATGTGAATGAGGATGAATACGTGGTGATGAAGGCAGAAGCCGAAATGGTGGAGGAGATGATGAGGAGCAAGACGATAAAAATGGTGGATGAGCTTTTCTTGGAGTGCAAGCCAAAGGGTTTAGGGTTAAGAGGAAAGGAGATGCAGAGCAAGAGTGGTAGGGCTTATTGGGAGTGTTTGGCTCTGTATGGCAAACTAAGAGATGAAGGTGTTGCTGTGCATCAATGGTGGGGTTGAAGTTAAAGAACATGGAGACAGAACTGAGAGAGAATAATCTATTAAACTAGTCTCTTCTTAATTATCCGTTTATATGTTTTTATTTTTTCTCTGTTATTTTTTTTTGGCTGTGTCTCATCTTGTGATCATCACTGTGTTGTTGTGTTTAAGTATTTTGTGGTGTTGTAAATCTGGGATCTAATGAGCTTAATATCAAGATCTTTTGTATTTCCTAACTGAAACTTGTTTATTTGGTTACGACTCGAAGAGACAAATAAATGAGAAACATGTTTTTTCAAGTTAAAATCATACTATTGTTAAAATATTCATCTAATAAAGAACACATTTTCTATTCTTGATTGTTGTTATATTTCGTTCAGCCTATATCATTCTAAATTACAGAGAGTAAACAAAAGACATTTATGTTATTCAACATCATTCCAGTGGATCTTCGCATCCACACTTGCGCATCACATTGACCAGACACATCGGAATAGGTTCACTTCTCTTTGATATTAGTTGTAGAACCAATTGTTTTTTGTTTTTTCTTTTCCCACTCATGGAAATAACTATTTTGTTGAAAAATAAATTAATCATTCCAAAAACTTGTTTTCTATTCCTTTTCACACACTTCATACATTAACTATTCTATTCTGATTAAATCAAACCATTGAGACTGATGATGATATGTATGACACATTACTTATGAGGTCCAACTTAACCAAATAACATAAACAATTCTTTGACAAGAAACAATAAAATAAACAATTACATGATGCTGCGAATTCATGATCTTTAAACCGATGTACTATCCACATCACCAGCAGCAGCCAACGGTCAATGCATGATTTGACCAAAATTAATTAGTTGATGTATAAAATTTACAAAAAAAAAAAAAAAAAAAACTGTAGTTAAGGCATAAAAAAAAGTTAGTTCATGTATGAATCAAATATGTTCGTACACTTTAGGTATGAATTGCAAGAAACCAAACAACCTGCTAAAAACTGCACGACCACTTTTTATGGGCATTAATCTCAATGAGTTGGGAGTTAGGTACACCAACTCCAGATATCATTACACATAATCACGACCGTTCACACTTTCTAGAATCTCCACCTCCTCCGTATATAATAATGTCTATATCAACCTATAAAACATGAAATTGTAACCACACACACAAAAAAGCCCACTAAAGCTATCTTCTTCACCATGGCCACTTTTCTCTTCGTATCTCTTCTCTCTTCTCTAACTCTATCACTCGTTCTAATCTCGGTCACAGGAGAAACCCTAGAACGTAGTTTCTTGCATCCCAAGAAAGAGAAACTAACTCATTTTAGAGTATATTGGCACGACATCTTGGACGGCAAAGACCCGACTTCGGTTCTAATAATGAATCCTCCGGCAAACTACACAGGGGCAACGGGGTTTGGCACCACGCGTATGATTGATAATCCGTTAACGATGACCCCAAAACTAAGCTCAAAAATGGTGGGAAGGGCACAAGGGTTTTATGCAGCCGCATCTAAAGAAGAGGTGGGATTGTTGATGGCTATGAATTTTGCGATTCTAGATGGGAAGTATAATGGAAGCACGATCACAGTGTTTGGAAGAAACTCGGTGTTTGATAAGGTGAGGGAGATGCCTGTGATCGGAGGAAGTGGACTTTTCCGATTTGCTAGGGGTTATGTTCAGGCAAGAACGCATGTGTTTGATCTCAAGTCCGGTAACGCTGTCGTCGAGTATAATTGTTATGTTTTGCACTATTGATTCATGATTTTTAGTTTATTATTTTCTTGTAGTATCTATTTTCTCTACATATAGTGGTGGTGGGACACTGTTTCAGTCATTTCAACTAATTTTCCTAGAGTGTATTTCCTAGTCTTTGTCTTTGTCTTTATCTTTGGGTTGCTAAGTCAATGAGGAAAATTGGGTCATATAAGTAAGTAACCATGTGACCATTTTGGCAAATAAGAAATCACATTTTTTATTTTCTTTTCAATAAAGTCTTCCGTTGAACAAAATGCATTTTACGCTTATTTAAGAAGAGAAACTATCTTCCTCATGTTGCTTTAAATACGAGTATAAATAGATCAATGAAGTATGTTTATGAACAAAGTGTATCATTTCATATGTACAAAATACATTTCTGAATAATTATCAGAACCAAGGGCTGGTCTTTGTTTACTCAACTCCATATCTCTCTATCTGACAAGTAGAATCCATTGTTGTTCTTGTCTGAACTGAGTCTCCACTTCTCAAGACTACAGTCTGACAAATTGTAATAACATCCATGAATCTTGACTTCACCTCTTTTTACTCTCTCTCTTATCCATGGATATGTTATCAAATTCATCACTGAATCCTTTATAGATTCCTGTCCAAACACAAAAACACACACGCGCATAAATCAGCTTCAGGTAAAAAAGATCTGAATTTATATAGAAATATGTTTGGAATCAGTTACCTTCTCACAGTTTCTGCATTGTTCATCAAAGCTTAAATGTGATAAATCTGCTTGTGTTCTTAACTTAGCAGCTTTTCCATTCATAACCCATCTCTCTACTAAACTAAAAAACACAAAGTTGTTGTTGCAACATTTAGAGAACATTTTAAGGAGCTTTTGAATCAAATGAAGTTGCTTAGAGCTCTACCTAGAGTGATGTTCTTGGTGGTTTTCATGGCTCATAAGCGCTGCTATTCCTCCACAATTGCTATGACCCATTACTATAATGTTCTCCACCTAATGCAGAAACAGAATGAGATAAACATTCTCTTGCTGCAAATTTATTTCACTTTTTAAAAAGTTTGAACTTACTTGAAGAGTAGTGACTGCAAACTCAAGAGCTGAGTTGGTTTCTGTTGATCCGTTCTTTCAAAATTAGAGGAAAACATCAAAAGGGTTTTAGAGATGTTCTTGATGAAGACATTAAAAGGAGTAAGTGTGAAATGCACCTGAATCGGGGTAACGAGGTTAGCAACATTTCGGATGGTAAAAGCTTCACCAGGTTGAAATCCAAGTACATAAGATGGACACACCCTTGAATCTGCACATCCTATCACCATGACCTGTTCTATTCTTGTCAGTCTTTGCTTAAATAGCTAAAATTTCTTTACAAGATAGACACATTATCCGCTATTTTCGAGTCGATTGGAGTTTGAAGAAAGAATTGATGCTCACCTTTGGTGATTGAGCTATGGCCAAAGCTTGAAACTTGTCAATCTCTGGTCTGATTTTTGGATTGAAACCATAATTTTTAAGTGGATCAAAGAAGAATAGAAAAAAGAACAGAGTTCTTTTCTTTTTTCTTTTTGTTATGAATCAAGAACATGAGTTTCTTTACTTACAAGTACTTTTGTCTCTTGAATCTCAGAAATCTCTGTCTCATCTCACCCAGGAAATCATATCTTGTCTCTAATTCTCTGTTTTCTCTGTTTTCTTTGTTTTCTTGCATCAATTCTTCTCTAATTCCCAGTTCTTGAACCATGTTGGTCCTCCTATGATACAAAAAAGCAGAGTAATCTCTGTCTTTATTCTTTGATTCCTCTAATGAGTAAAGCTTTTTGACTTCAAAGATTCTAGCTTTATAAAAAGAAAACTTTGAAGAACAAAGAACAACGATCAAACACTATTTTATCACCTGGGTATTAATCTAATTGCTTTTGCTTCACCAAGCTGCTGAAACCGATCCGATCCCGTTTGTTGCAGCTTCAACAAGTAAAATTGAAAATTGGAATTGTTTAATTCAAAGAAAGATTGAAGTTATGTAACTAAGGAAGTGAAAAGATCAAGATGTGTGACTCACTCTCTGAAGAAAACCATTTTTATGAACTGAAGTTGCAGAGACTAAGCGACGAGCTCTTCCACCTGAACATGGAAGCAAAAACGATGACGTTTAGAGAAATACGATAGTGTGAATTGTGATCAGCTTTTGATGTTAAAGACTCACATAGTGTAAACGCCATTTTTCCGGAACAGTTTTCTCTCTTTTTGCTATGGTCTTTGATCTTTACTATTATAGTATCTTTTTAGATACTTATTTGTTTGTGTATTATTTATTCTCCTTCATCAGTAGTGCAAAATGATTCCTCTTTTGGATTAAAAAAAGGACAAAGATAGACTAAACCAATATGAAAACAGTTTTTTTAATTTTGTAAGAAAAAAAGTAACTGAAATTTGAATAAATTTGCATCACTAGATCCATATTTTATTTCAAGAAAAGTAGAAGTAAGAGGGACAAGAAAGAGAAAGAAGGTGGCAAATGCTTATCCAGAGAAGAATAAGAAGAAAAGTTTAGCACGGGATACGTCTCATTGCATTGTCACAAGTCATATCCACTAGTTGCCAATAATCCAATCTTTATCAAAAAATAAAAACAAAATAATAATCCAGTCCCATTCATTTTGGGGAAATTGGCAAAGTACCCCAAAAAAGGCCTTTCTTGTCCTACTTTTTTTGACTTTGGCCATTTTTTTCCATAATTGCCCTTCAATATTGTTTAAACATGATAATGAATATTTTTTTAAGTGAACACAATTTCTAAAAGTCCTATAAATGATCTAAAGAATGTGTAAAATATTTGAATATTTTTAAAAATGTTTTGGATGGTTAAAAAATTCTTTGAAGTTTTGGTTCTACAAAGTAAAATATCAAAGCAGAATACGCTTTCTACAAGTTATTCGCAAGTCTAACCGTCGTAGGATATGATATCTACAATTTCTTCATTCATCTTCCGGATTAGACTTCGATATCTACCATATACAATACACTCTACCATTTTGTAGAATTCGCTCCAAAAATATTCTACAGAATACACCATCCGCTACTACCAGATTTAATAGTTTTCGTGTACTACATATTTCATGTTTTTCTGCAAGGCGTAGAACTAGGGATCTACTAAAAAGAAGACTTCTACAATCCGTAGTATTCGTGTTTTCACAGGATGTTCTACTAAATAGGTTAGTTCTACATTGTGTAGAGTTCATCATCTGCAAAAATCGAGAGAATATTGCAAAAAAATATTTTTCAAATCTTTGTTTCCTTAGACGAGCGGCGGCAAGGACGAGCGGCGGCGAGTGACTGCAAGATCTTCGATTCGGCGGAATTCGGTCCGAAGGAAACGTTCGTCAAGAAGAGAGCAAGGACGACGAATGGCGATGAGCGGCGGCGAGATTTTGGATTCGATTTTAGGAGGAGCGATTTTCTTCGGCGTAGTGAGCGAGAAAAGTCGAGTTTAGGTCGTGGAGAGTTTCTGTCGATTTTATTTTGTTTTATTATTCTATTTTTAGTTTTATTTTTCTTTTATGTTTTAATTGCAAAAAAATCGAAAATAGCTGATTTTCTCAATTCACTTCATCATTTCAATTTGAAGGTTAAAACTGTCCAAATTTCACAAAAAAATGTATTAGGACAAAAATGAAATGGAAAAGTGTAGTGAGACAAGAAAGACCTTTTTTGGGGTAAATTGGCAATTTTATCATTCATTTTTCTAGAATTTTTGTTTTTATAATATTTATTTCAAAGCATTAAATAAGAAAATAAACCAACTAATGAATGCGATTGGATTATTATGTAAATCGGTTTGCAAAAATGGCCTAACTAAACCAAACAAAATTCTGATTCGGTTTGGATGAGGAGTATTTCTTCATAACCATCTAAACCATTGGACACCATAAAAGAAAAGTCAAAGTCTTCTGCCAAAATCTCCTTGAAGAATGCGTTTAATTAAATAACAAAGATACGAAAGGATTCTTCTTGTTGATTTCCCACACATAATTAATTTTTCATTTACCAAGTCATTGACTTACGATGAATATAAACTTTGAGGACTTCTAATTTCTTCAAAATACAGTCCCTTTATCTTTTTAGTTGGGTTTTCTCAAAATGTTGGTTTTCCATATACCACACTTTTTCTTGGCGACATGGGTTATGGTAATGATAGTATCACTGCAGATGCATGGGTCTAGAAGTTGCATCGAGAAGGAAAGAAAAGGCTTATTGGCGCTCAAGGCTTATGTGAATGAAGAATATTCATACGATTGGTCCAGTGACACGAAGAGTGACTGTTGCCAATGGGAAAGAATCAAGTGTGATCGTACAAGTGGACGTGTGATCGGACTCTTCTTGAATCATACATACAAGGAGGATCCTTTCCAAATGAATCTTTCCTTGTTTTATCCATTTGAAGAATTAAAGACTCTTAAGTTAAATTGGTTTGGAAGTACAGGCTGGTTCGATGATATCCATGGTATTATATCTCTTTTAGCTCCATTTCTCTTTCATCTTTGTGGCTTTAACTTCATTCTACATAAAGATTAAAAAATTTATTGGCTTTTGATTTGTAGGTTACAAAAGCCTCGGGAGATTGAGGAAACTTGAGATCTTGGATCTTGGTGACAACATCGTTAATAATAGTGTCTTGCCCTTTCTGAATGCCGCTTCATCGCTTAAAACTTTGATTCTTCATGGAAACTATATGGACGGTATTTTTCCGGTGAAAGGTTAGTTGATATTATCAGTTTTACAAAATGTTTTCAGTTCATCTATATTATTATTATTTTTCTTTTCTTTTTGGTTGGTTTGATGTTTATCTTTATTCTTGTTGGTGGTCACCTATTGTGCAGAACTAAAAGACTTAAGAAATCTAGAAATGCTGGATCTAAGTGGGAACTTGCTCATTGGCCATGTGCCAGGTAAATGTAGTACATTTTTTCTTTACATCTCTTTCTCTTGATTTTGTAAACACTTGTTCGAACTATCTGACCATTTTTTGTCTTGTCGCAGACTTGTCACATATGCATAAGCTCCAAGCTATGGATTTGAGTGATAACAAATTTTCTGGATTATTGGAAAACCAAGGTATGTTAAAATCTTAGAAATTTCATGGGTTTCCAACTTAAAATCCTTTGGCTGAGTGATTTTTTTAACCTTTTATTGTTGTTTCTAAAACATAAAAAAAATTGAAATTTTTGATGCACTTTTTACTCTCCTCGTTCTCTAACAAATAATGTTTTAGAATTTTTTTTGTTCACAAATAAGTGATGTTTTGTAGGATTCTGCAGATTGTTTTTTATTAATTGAATTGTTTTGGGATTAATGATATAACATGTTTATTTTGAAAAAAATAGAAAATTAAATGATTTCTTAATGTATGAAAAACCTTTAAACATCACTTATTCTTAATAAGTGGTCTTTTAGGTTTTTGCACACATATTAAAAAATCATTTAATTTTCTATTTTTTTAAACAAAATATTTTTGTATCATCAGTCCCAAAACAATTCAACCAATAAAATTTCAATATGCAAAATTCAAACAATCAAAACAACTCAATACAATTAAATTTGCTTTGAATTCTGAGAACACCACTTATGAACACATTTGTTTTCTTCATAATAAACCATTTATTGGAGAACAAAGGGAGTACTATATCATTTAACAAAAGAGAAAATTCATATTTCAAGAAAACAATTACTGACAATAATTATGTTCTTTGATTACCAAATTAGTTTAAAGTCATAGAAAATTGTTAAGTTTAGATAATCTATACATTTATGATTAGACATTAATTTTTTTCTTAATATGTGTGAAAATTCTGAAAATTTATTCTTTTTGAAACAAATGAATATTATTAGGATCTCTACCAACTTACGAATGTAGGATATTAGTCTCTTAATATATAATGTATGAGGTTATTCCTTGATAGCATGAATGGATATGAGTTTTAGGAAAATAAACTTTCTAATCTTTATGTGCCTTTGCATGTCACTGTTGTAGGACTTTGTAAATTGAAACATCTGCGGGAGCTTGATCTGAGTCGGAACAAATTTGTAGGTCAACTTCCTCAGTGCTTTGGTAACTTAACCCAACTCCAAGTTCTTGATATCTCTTCAAACAATCTCAATGGGACAATTCCTTCTTTTATCAGCGATCTTGATTCTCTTGAGTACTTATCTTTCTTAGATAATGAGTTTGAGGGTTTCTTCTCTTTCGAGTTAATCGCTAACCTCTCAAAGCTCAAGGTATTCAAACTTTCATCAAAGTCTAGTTTGCTGAAGATAGAGACAGAAATCTCATGGCCACTGAGGTTTCAGTTGAGTGTCATTGACTTGCAATATTGCAACTTGGAAATAGTTCCTAGCTTTCTTCATCACCAAAAAGATTTGCGTCTAATTAATCTCTCCAACAACAAGTTGACCGGAATATCTCCATCTTGGTTTCTTGAAAACTATCCAAAACTTCAGGTTTTGCTTTTAAGGAACAGCTCTTTAACCATCTTTCAACTTCCAAGACTACTTGTTCATAGTTTGCAAGTCTTGGATTTATCAATCAACAAGTTTGATCAACGACTTCCAGAGCATATAGGACACGTACTACAAAATACAAGACACTTAAATCTTTCTAATAATGGGTTTCAAGGGGCTTTGCCATCTTCTCTTGGTGAGATGAAAAAGCTATACTTTTTGGACCTATCTCATAATAACTTCTCTGGTACTCTACCGAAGAATTTTCGTGTTGGTTGTTACAAGTTGGGTATTTTGAAGCTTTCATACAACAGATTTAGTGAACAAGTTTTCTCGCAGCCAACAAAGTTGGAGTCTCTGATGGTTTTGATTGCGGATAACAATCTATTTACCAAGATCGGAGATGGGTTGCTTCATTCAAAGGGTTTGATATTTCTCGACTTGTCAAATAACTATCTACAAGGTGTCATCCCAAGATGGTTTGGAGGCTTTTATTTCTTGTATCTTTCGGTTTCAAACAATCTTCTTAAAGGTACAATACCAAGAACCCTCTTTGACATATCGTTTAAAGTCTTGGACCTCTCTAGAAACAATATTTCAGGAAACTTGCCTTCACACTTCAATGGTCGTCAGGGTATGGGTCTGTTGTACCTCCATGATAATGAGTTTAGTGGGGTGGTTCCAAGTACATTGCTAGAAAATGTCATGTTACTTGATCTGCGTAATAACAAGTTATCAGGGAAGATCCCACACTTTGGCAGCAACAAATATGTTATTTATCTTTTGTTGAGGGGTAACACATTAACCGGTCATATTTCTACTAGTCTTTGTGAGCTAAAGAGCATCAAAGTCTTGGATCTTGCCAACAACAAATTGAATGGGTCTATACCTTCATGTCTCAACAATATATCATTTGGAAGGAGCTTAGACTATGAGATAGATCCTAATCATAGTGATTCATTTGGGATTGCTAATGGTGAAAATGACCTAGAGGCGTATTCGAGATCCTTTGTTTCTAGGTTCTTGGATTTACCACTTGAGCTTGATATAGATTACTCAGGCTATTTGGAGTTCACGGTCGAGTTTGCATCAAAGAGAAGATATGAGTCTTACGGTGGAGAAAGTTTTGACTTCATGTTTGGACTGGATTTGTCGAGTAATGAACTTAGTGGCGAAATCCCGAAAGAGCTTGGAGATTTTGAGAGACTACGTGCTTTGAATCTGTCTCATAATTCTTTATCAGGTTTAGTACCTGGAAGATTCTCTAGTCTAATGGATATAGAGAGCATTGACCTTTCGTCCAACATGTTGCATGGATCAATACCTCATGGTCTAACTAAGTTGGACTATTTAGTTGTATTTAATGTGTCATACAACAACATGTCAGGCTCTATTCCAAGTCAAGGCAAGTTTTTAACGTTGGATGAAACCAATTACATTGGTAATCCTTTTCTATGTGGATCACCGGTAAATAGAAGTTATGATGATAACAACACTACTGGTTTCAAGGAAACAGATTATCAAAGCATAGATGGTGAATATGCAATAGATATAGAGACTTTCTACTGGAGCCTTGCAGCCACCTACGGTGTAACATGGATGGCATTTATTGTGTTTGTTTGCTTTGATTCACCTTTGCGCCGACTCTGGTCTTGCCGTGTTGATGCTTTTATCAATTTGTTCAAATGTGTTTGATTTGGTGTAATTTTCATTTGTATTCAACTTTCAAAATCAACCTTCGTAAGTTCAAAGTTTGTTCGTATGCACTAGTAGAATTGGTGATAAACAAATCTGAATGTACATGACTCAAGTTATCGTAGTCTATATAATAAAGAAAGAAGATGATATTGTGAGAACGAATAACAAATCCGAGGAAAACAAAGCCCAAGCAAGTTAGTGATAGTCGTCATTCTTGGTATCTAGTATTCATGAAAAAGTGAACTTGTATCTATCACAATGATATCTATTGGAGTTTTCATACATGACTTAATTCTACAATAATAGACAGTCATTTATGATATTTAAATTTGTAGAAGAATAAACTATTAATATCTACACTAATTTAAATAGAATCCGATGAGATGTAGACGACTAGAAGCAAGAAAACAAAAATATGTTTTTCTCAAAGTGCACGAATTATGAACTTTCAAACCTTATCAATTGAGAAAACCCTAAACAGCAAAAAAAAAAAATCATGATTTCTTTTGCAAAAGATTCAAAAATAAAGTTTAGGAGGCCGAAAGTCTAGTTGCACATACACTGGCAAAAATTCCAGCACGGACATACATAAAAAAAAATATCATATGACACCAATAATTAATGTAGTATATAATTAAATTGTCTTAAGAATATAACATGCAAAAGAGCTGACTAAATTCAAGTCTCCAAGGACACGAGACTCTCACTGTCATCCACCAACATGACCTTAACGGCGGATTTGTCCTTGCTAAACCAATGGTCCGGTACACCTTTGATATCGATCTTTCTCATATCATTGATTCGAAGATCATAGGAGAGAATGTGAAAGGGAGAAAACAAAGCCTTTGGTATCAAGAAAACCTTGCCATCTTGAGAGGTACCTTTGACCATGAATCCATGATCAATGTTACTGACCAAATGTAGCTGACAAGGCTGCACAACAAGAGTCTTCCTGGACCACTTGTTTTTACCGTCGAGGTCCCATAAATCCAGCATACCCTTGTCTGTCAGATTGGTTTGGTCAATGATAGTTGCTTTGCCACCATACTCTATAACACTCACTTTGCTCATGCAATTTGCGTCATCCTCCCTGGTAGGTAACTGGATCGTTTTCAAGTCTTGGGATCTAATGTGGAAACTCACAAGCATAGATATCTGCGTACAAGTCCAACCCACGTAATATATTACCTCATCGATACACACTCCTCCTCTGGCCGGAATGTGAGGAAGAAAGGCCGGTGGAGTTAGAGCCACCTTTTTCCAGGAACCTCCTCCCCCAGGTTTTAGGACATAGACCCGAGCCTCTGACCTTATTGGTCTTATCCATTCCGGACTGTTCAAGTAGACACCGGTTGAGCAGACCACCGTGTACTGGTCGCTAACAGGGCCGTGTCCGAAATAGTATTCGACTACTTTTTCAGCAGCTTCATCTGGAGGAGCTGGTATGGGTTCGATGGCGGCGGGTAAGGTGACAAGCCGTCTGGTGGCAGGGTTAAAAATCCGCACCTTTTTGAACGTGCTGTAGCACATGAAGCCACCAATATTTTGGTGCATGAAGCATCGTATCCGTCGGATGGGCCGATCGTGGTCAACTACAAAGGAGGAACTAGTACTGTCTGGAGACAATGATAGCATTACATCGTAACTTTTGTCACGGACATCCACCAAACACATGTAAATTCGACGACGCGGATGGGATGGTACCGTCAGGAAACGGTTCTTGAAATATTGTGAGCTGATGAGCGATGACCAACGCTTTGAGACGCACTTGAATCTCATCAGGGATTTAGCAGGCAGTCTCGTGAGGATCTCTTCCATCACCACATCCATAGGAATCCCCACATCTATTCGTCTTCGAGACAAACCCATCACGAATCTCCTTTCGAACGAACGACGACAAACTCATCGAGAGCAGCTAGGGTTTTTGCCTATTTAAAGTGGTCTTGTAAGTTGTAACCCTAATTTATCTTTCTATAAATAACTCTAATATTTCTTAAATCTTAAAATTACCCCAAATTAATTTTCCTTATTTTTTCATTTATGTTATACACCTTTAGTGTTTCTTTGCTTTGATTGGCGTCGAGCATGGTTTCACCTTGTTGATGCTTTTATCAATTTTATCATATCTGTTTGATTTGCTGTCATTTTCGTTTGTATTTGGAGTTTGGATTTGTCGAGTAATGAACTTAATTAGTGGCGAAATCCCGAAAGAGCTTGGAGATTTTGAGAGACTACGTGCTTTGAATCTGTCTCATAATTCTTTATCAGGTTTAGTACCTGAAAGATTCTCCAGTCTAACGGATATAGAGAGAGCATTGATCTTTCGTCTAACGTGTTGCATGGACCGATACCTAGTGGTTTCACCTTGTTGATGCTTTCATCAATTTTTTTAGATGTGTTTGATTTGGTGTTTTCAATTGTAGATCGTTTTGGTATCTAAACTACGACATGTACGTTGCTTTACTTTGAAAAATCTTGAAAGTTCAAATTTTTGAAAAGAGAAAATTTTCTAAATACACTTCTTGGGTGCCTATTTTCAAAACTACACCTATGTTTTCAGAATCACACTTTTTCTAAATCTAACATATATTATTCATCATATTTTGCAGAACTAAAGGACTTGCGACATCTACAACTGTTGGATCTAAGCGGGAACATGTTCATTGGCCCTTTACCAAGTGAAGGTAGTCAAGTCTTCTTGAAATATTCTTCCCTTCATAGACCAAAAACTAAATAAAATTGAGACCTTTGAACACCTCTTAAAAACTTCCCTTTATGGTCTTGCTTTTTCTGATATCATCCATTATTGCAGGCTGGTCATATTTTCATAAGCTCCGAGCTTTGGACTTAAGCAACAACGGATTTTCTGGATCATTGGAAAACCAACGCATGTTATATATTAAAATATTGGGATCTTATTTATTAGATATATATGTATTATCCTTAATGACACTTTTTTTATAACACCCATGGATAACACTTTAAATTAGTTTGTGCATTTGTATGTGATTTGTTGCAGGACTTTGTCAATTGGAGAATTTGCAGGAGCTCGATCTGAGTCAAAACAAACTTGCCGGCCTATTTCCTCAGTGTTTTGGCAACTTAACAAAACTCCAAGTTCTTGATATCTCTTCAAACCAATTCAATGGGACACTTCCACATTTTACCAGTCGTCTTAATTCTCTTGAGTACCTATCTCTCTCAGATAATGAGTTTGAAGGCCCATTCTCTTTCAATTTAATCTCCAACCTCACAGATCTCAAAGTGTTCAAACTTTCTTCAAGATCTAGTTTGTTCCATATTAAGACAGAAATCTCTTGGCAGCCGAAGTTTCGGTTGAGTGTTATGGATCTACAATATTGCAGCTTGAAATCTGTTCCTAGTTTTCTTCAGCACCAGCAAGATTTGCGTCTAATTAATCTCTCCAACAAGAAGTTGACTGGAGCATTTCCTTCCTGTTTTCTGAAGAAAAATAAAAAACTTGGGAGTTTTCTTTTGCAGAACAACTCTTTCACCATGTTTCAGTTGCCAAAGTTGCTTAATCACAGTTTGAAGTATCTGGATGTATCTACCAATGAATTTACCGCAAAATATCGGAAAAGTAGTTCCAAATCTAAGACACTTGAATCTCTCTAATAACAGGTTTCAAGGGAATTTGCCATCTTCTTTCGGTGAGATGAAAAAGATCTTCTTCTTAGACCTATCTCATAATAACTTCTCCGGCACGCTACCAAGAAACTTCCGCATTGGTTGGGGTTCATTGAAAATTTTGAAGCTTTCATACAACAGATTCCACGGCCAGATTTTCTCACAGCCTACAAATTTGGTGTCCTTGTCAGTGTTTACTGCGGATAACAATTTATTTACCGGGATCGCAGATGGTCTGCTTCATTCAAAATCTCTAGGAGTGCTCGACTTGTCCAATAACTATCTTCAAGGTGTCATTCCAAGTTGGTTCGGAGGCTTCACTACTTTCATGTTTCTTTTCATTTCTAATAATCTTTTACAAGGTACCGTACCAAGCAGCCTTTTTCACATACCTACCTTCATCATTCTGGACCTCTCTGGGAATAAGTATCATTTGGAAGGAGGGTAGATTATGATAATGATTTGTATCTAGCATCATACAGTTTTGGCACTGAGTTGGTGGAGGCGTATTCTAGGTCGGTCGTTTTACCACTTGAGTTTTCTCCCGATTACTCTGGCAATTTGAAGTTTGTAGTTGAATTTGCATCGAAAAGTAGGTAAGATTCTTACACCGAAAGAAACTTTGACTTCATGTTTGGGCTGGATTTGTCAAGTAATGAACTCAGTGGTGAAATCCCTAGAGAGCTAGGAGATCTTCAAAGAATGCGTGCTTTGAATCTGTCACACAATTCTTTGACAGGACTAATACCTGAAAGCTTCTCCAATCTAACAGATATAGAGAGCATTGATCTTTCATTTAACTTGTTGCACGGACCAATACCCCATGATCTAACCAAGTTAGACTATTTAGTTGTATTCAATGTGTCGTACAACAACATGACAGGCTCTATTCCAAGTCAAGGCAAGTTGTTAACGTTGGATGAAACCAATTACATTGGTAATCCTTTTCTTTGTGGATCACCTCTAAATAGAAGTTGTGATGATAACAACACTACCGGTTTCAAGGAAACGGATTATCAAAGCATAGATGGTGAGTCTGCAATAGATATGGAGACTTTCTATTGGAGCCTCGCAGCCACATATGGTGTAATATGGATGGCATTTATTGTGTTCTTTTGCTTTGATTCTCCTTTGCGCCGAGTATGGTTTGGCCGTGTTGATGCTTTTATCAATTTGTTCAAATGTGTTTGATTTGGTGTACTTTTCATTGGTATTCGATTTTTATCATGTCATGTTGTTTTTAGTGTGTAAAATATCCGAAGTTCAAAGTTTGCAGTGCACTATTTTGGTATATCATTTTGGAAGTCCTCACTTTGGATTTTATTAGTCATATTTTATCCTCATGCATGGTCTAAAGAAGAAAAAATTCATACTAGCTAGTCACTTGAAACATAATCCTATTCGAGTTATTCTGTCACTGGTTATTATTTACATAGATGAAGTGGCGCAAAATCCAAAGGTCTTTACGGTTTGTAAACATTCATACACACAACTAATGGAAAAAAATCTTGACAAAAGAGTATTCGCCCACATTCAGTTTTTATTCTAACCCTATACGAATTCATCATCATTCACACGCAATTTCACAACTTCACGTGTCAACCTCATAGCCGCTTGCCAATGATCCAGTCTCTTACTTCAAAGATAGAAAAAATTGTATATTTATGAAGGCCCTTCAACACACACACACAAAAATATAAAAAAAAATATATTCTAGAGCCATTAAAAATGTCAAAGAAGCTAATTAAGGTATGATCTTAGTTGTTTCTGGAAGATTAGTATAACATTTTGCAGATTCAAATCCACATTACATATGTTTGTTATTGAAAACAACAACAACAACAACAACAACAACAACAACAACAGAAAAACAATCCGGACAATCATTTAATTAAGGGGAAAAAATGATGAACAAATGGGCTGTCAAGCCCCGTTTCTGAATGAGTCTATAATCATTATGTTATTGATAATTTCTTCTACTTCAGGAATGACGTGGTAGTTTGTGCTAGCAAGAAACAACGTACAGATTAAACATAGAAACCGTTGACCCCACAACTCTCCTACCAAAAATTGCATTTAGTCTTGTAGAATATGTCTAATTAACTAACAAAAATAATGAAAGTTTCTTCCTATTAATTTTCCACACAGAATGAATATAAACTTCAAGGCGTTCTAAAGTCGTCTAACTACAAAGTCTCTTTCTTTTTCTCTCGATCTCTTCTTTTTTTTTTTTGCTGGTTTTTCGTGAAATGTTCTCTTTGTCAAACTTCTTTTGCGCGACATGGGTCATGCTAATGATAGTATCACTGAAAATGCATACGTACAGAAGTTGCATCGAGAAGGAAAGGAAAGGATTGCTGGAGATCAATGCCTATATCAACAAAGAATTTCCGTATGATTGGCCTAATGATACAGACAGCGACTGTTGCCGATGGGAAAGAATCAAGTGCAACCTTACCAGCGGACGTGTGATCGGCCTCTTCTTGAATGATGCATACGATCCCCCTCCTCTACTAAACCTTTCGTTGTTCTATCCCTTTGAAGAACTACAGATTCTAAATTTAAGTTATTACTGGAGAAGCAGCTTGTTCGATGATATCCATGGTATATCTTTATTTTATTCTTTTATTATCTTTGTAATAAAATTTCCATCTACACATGAATCATATATTTCTTAATTAGTTTCTAAACTTTATATATTATTTGTTTTTTTTTATCTAGGTTACAAAAGCCTCGAGAGATTGAAAAAACTTGAGGTCCTGGATTTTTCTTACAACGGATTCAATAACAATGTTTTACCCTTTTTGAATGGCGCTGCTTCATCACTTAAAACTTTGATTCTTCAGGGGAACTTTATAGAAGGCATTTTTCCGATGACAGGTATATATGTTCATATCTTACCAAATAAGATATCTTTTTATATCAAATTGGATGTGTTCAATGATGTTGTGGCATCATAAGAGTTGTTTAAAAAGTGTAGTTTTAAAAATTGTCTCAGTAGAAGTGTAGTTTTGCAAATTGACACCCAAGAAGTATATTTTTAAAAATTTCTCGTATATATATCAATGATCTAAATACTCCTAAGAGCTGCATTGGATTATCTATTGTTGTGATATGTGAAATGGGAATATATTTTTGTTTACATATTTAAAGTTCTTTACTCTGTTTGTGATCTATTTTGCAGAATTAAAACATTTGAGAAAACTTAAACTGCTGGATCTGAGCAAAAATATGTTTAGTGGCCCTATACCAGGTGAGTAAATTTGTTCTTCCCCACATATAAAGTTTTCTTTTCCCCACTATAAAGTTGTGGCTTTAAAACATTTTTCAGAGTTGGCGTATTTTCATAAGCTCGAAGCTTTAGATTTAAGTGATAATGAATTTTCTGGATCATTGGAAAAGCAAGGCATGTTGGTACAATTCAAAGTCTTACTTTTCTTTGTTGCTACAAGATATACATGCATGTGCAAGTCTTAACGATATGTCTTTTATATTAAATATAACAATGAGTTACAAGAAGAAACATGATCATCTTATTGTGATTGTTGCAGAAATTTGTCAAATGAAGAATCTACGAGAGCTTGATCTAAGTCAAAACAAACTTGTAGGTCGTCTTCCTTTGTGCTTTGGTAGTTTAACCAAACTCCAAGTTCTTGATATCTCTTCAAACCAATTCAATGGGACGCTTCCATCCCTTATCGGCAATCTTGATTCTCTTGAGTACTTATCTCTTTTTGATAATGAGTTTGAGGGTTTATTTTCTTTCGATCTAATTGCCAACCTCTCGAAGCTAAAGGTGTTCAAACTATCATCAAGATCTAGTATGCTGCAACTAGAAACTGAAATCCTCTGGCAGCCGAGGTTTCAGTTGAGTTTCATCAAATTGCAATATTGCAATTTGGAAACTGTTCCTAGCTTTCTTCACCAGAAAAAAAACTTGCGTCTAATTAATCTATCCAACAACAAGTTGACCGGAGCATTCCCTTCTTGGCTTTTGGAGCAAAACAAAAATCTTGAGGTTTTGCTTTTCACTAACAACTCCTTCAACATCTTTAGACTTTCGGGACTTGTTCATAGTTTAAAAGTGTTGGATGTATCAGCCAATGATTTTGATGGACAACTTCCTGAGAGTATGGGAAATATGTTTCCAAATCTAATCCACTTGAATCTCTCAAACAACGAGTTTCAAGGGAGTTTTCCAACCTCCTCCGGGGAGATGAAAATGCTGCAATTCTTGGATATATCTCGTAATAACTTCTCTGGCACTCTACCGAGGGAATTTCTCATGGGTTGTTACTCGTTGCGCATTTTTAAGCTTTCACACAACAGATTTACTGGCCAGGTTTTTCCAGACCCAGCAAATTTGACGTCATTGAGATATTTGATGGCGAATAACAATCAGTTCTCTGGGATCTCAGCTGGATTGATTCATTCAAATGATCTAACAGTGCTCGACGTGTCCAATAATTATCTACAAGGTGTTGTTCCAAGTTGGTTGGGTGGATTTTCTTTCACGTTTCTTTTGGTTTCAAATAATATGTTGGAAGGTACAATACCAAGTACTCTCTTCAACATAACTGACATTACACTTATGGACTTGTCTAAAAACAAGTTTTCAGGGAGCTTGCCACAACAACTCAATTTCAATCCTTTGGTTATGTTGTTTCTTAATGACAATGAGTTCAGCGGGCCGATTCCTGATACATTTTTAGAAAATATCATGGTACTCGATCTGCGAAATAACAATTTGTCAGGGACGATTCCACACTTTGTCGACAACATATTTATAGAATACCTTCTATTGAGGGGTAACAGATTAACAGGTCATATTCCTAAGGCTCTATGTAGTCTAAGTAACATCATGATTTTGGATCTTGCCCACAACAAGTTGAATGGGTCTATACCTTCATGTCTCAACAATGTATCATTTGGAAGGGGTGTAGAGAGTCTTAATGAGACGTATGGTTATACTTCATCAATTGGTATTGGCTTGGGTGATATATTGGGATGGTATTTTGGATCATCCTTGGTTTTACCACTTGAGTTTGAACTAGACTACAATAGCGACTTGAAGTTCATAATTGAATTTGCTTCAAAGAGTAGATATGATTCTTACACCGAAACAAGCTTCGAGTTCATGTTTGGGCTAGATTTGTCAAATAATGAACTCAGTGGTAACATACCAAAAGAGCTTGGAGATCTTCAAAGAATGCGTGCTTTGAATCTGTCTCGCAATTCTTTGTCAGGTCTAATACCTGAAAGCTTCTCCAATCTAACAGATATAGAGAGCATTGATCTTTCATTCAACATGTTGCGCGGACCGATACCTCAAGATCTAACCAAGTTGGACTATTTAGTTGTATTCAATGTCTCATACAACAACTTGTCAGGCTCGATTCCAAGTCAAGGCAAATTTTCTACATTGGATGAAACCAACTACATTGGTAATCCTCTACTCTGTGGATCATCTGTTAATAGAAGTTGTGACAACAACATTCACAAACCAGATTATCAAAGTGGCGGAGATGATGAAACTGTGATAGATATGGAGACCTTTTACTGGAGCCTTGCAGCCACATACGGTGTAACATTGATGGCATTTATTGTCTTTGTTTGCTTTGATTTTCCTTGGCGTCGAGCATGGTTTCACCTTGTTGATGCTTTTATCATTTGTTTCAAATGTGTTTGATTTGTTGTGGTATTTGAATTTCGTCATGTCATGTTGTTTTAATTTGTAAAAGACTCGCAAGTACAGAGTTTGTAATGCACTATATGGTATAATGTTTTTGAAAGTGTTCCCGTTAGATTTTAAATAGTTTTTCTTTTGGTAAAATAAATAAATATAGTTTATCTTTATATTATTATTTGAGAAAGAAGTACATGAAGAATTTATTACCAAAAAACCAATTTAATTATGAAGAGAAAGTGTTTGACAACAGATTTAATGAGGGTCAATTTAGTATATTGTAATGTTTGGATACAAGAATAAGAGAAAAAAAAACTATTTGGATAGAAGAATAAATAGAAAAAATTGTTTGGATACAAGAATAATAACTTAAAATAAACCGATAGTTTAGAAAACTTCCATTTTCCAGCTCTTAAGAATCTGCAAAAAAAAAAACTTAACATAATCTAACGATAATTCCAAATCAATAGATTATGTTTTTTGGATTTTGGGTTTTCGGGTTTAGATATATTAAAAAAGTTTGAGTATTTTAAAATTTTGATTAGGGTATTTGGGTCGGGTTCCGGGTGAAAAAGTTTTCAGATTTTTTTTATTCAGTTCAGGGTTTTTTGGATTTTTTTTTTATTTCAGATTTTCGGGTTTAGACATATTTAAAAAGTTTGGGTTTTTTAAAAAAAATTATTATGGTTTTTTGGTCGGGTTCGGATTTAGGGTTTAAATTTTCTACACAAAACCACAACGTCACACCGCACAAACGGGTACTCTACTAGTTATTTACATAGATGAAACTGCGCAAACCTCTAAGTTTAAAAAATTAACAGAGTCACGCTCATACTTTCTAAAGATACTTTTTAAACTAGAGCACAGATTTCTTCTACTTCCTCACCCAAGTACTTTAGACTCCATTAATGCACCAATGTCTCGAGTTCTTCATCAACTAGGAGTGTACATTTTGATCGGCCTAATAACACGGATGGTCACAATATCACACTTGCTGATGTGAAAGAGTCAAATGTGATATTGTGACCATCCTCTTATTGAACTATATATATTCTCTTTGTTTCTTTTTACTTGTGGAAGTTTTTTATACAGCTTAAGAAACTAACTACATTTATTATTTTACTCTTATTTAATATATTGTTTTGTTTAATATTACTACTTAATAAGCCAAAGAAACAAGAATAAAACTGGAAAATATATTATAAATATATATTGAAAATGCAAAGTGACAATTAAAATGAAATAAAAAAAGAAATGGATGGAGTACATAAAAAAAAACTTTTTTTCTCTCTCTAAAAGAAAGTCGCTATGCCTTCTGTCTAGAGAAGTCCGCCGTCGTGTTTGGCCGGCTCCGGTGGCTTCTATAGCGCCGGAGTCCGGTGTGCTTTGTTTCTCTTGCTTTGTCTTGCCTTTCTTTTCTGTTTTCCTCTAAGGTTCTCTTTGGTTGAAGAAGATTTAGGTGTTTAGGGGTTTCTCCTCCAGATCTGAAACAGATCTAGGTGTTCTTGAGGTTGGTGGGTCCGGATCTGTTAGATATTTGGTCAATTCCCACGTTTTCTCCTCTATGGTCCTTATTTCCAGTGCCAGATCTGGTTTTTCACCTCCTTCCCTCTCGGCCGCTGCTTCCATGCTTCGTCTTGCTTCTGTGGAGTTTGCTTGGGTTCTGGTTCTTCTCCGGTTCGATCTTTCACCTTCTGAACTTGGTGTTATCCGGTTTGGTTCCGTTTGCTCCCTGTCGCTATCTCACTTCTGATCGAAAACTCATTCCGCGAAGGGTACTTCTGCCGGTTAGGACTATTTGGCGTGATGGAAGACTGGCTATTTGAGTTGTTAGGTAGTTTGTGTTTTTTCAGGGAAGGGAAGCTTCAAACCTCTGCTACCGTAGTCTGTGACCGTTCTCTGGCCACTGAGGGCATTTACGGTGAGGGTGAATTTTCTATGAAGGTTCTCAAGAAGTTTGAAGCAGGTCTTGATATCGTTTTAGTTGGAGTTGGTGCGGTTCTTCGTTTCGGTTTATCCTCTTAGATCCCTTTCTTTCTCTTCTTTAGTTCTATAGTTCTTTGTTTATTTGCTGCCTGAGTGGGCTTATGTTTGTCATGGTTTTGTAAGTTTGGTTGGTGTCTAACATCTTGTATTCTCCCTCAATTCAATATAATTTTAGATGGAAAAAAAAAAATAGTACATAAACTCCTTCTCTCCTAAATCTTCTTTTCGGCCGTAAAGCCCATTAAATAATTCAAAGTCTTTCACCAAAAGTCAAAGTCTTCTGCTAAAATATCTGCATCATCGATATCCTTTAACAACTTTATCAAGTTGTAACGTCAGACCAGAAATTCTCAATGTTGATGTTCTCTCAATCATGTTTAAGGGTGATGGTGATGATGATGATGATGGTGACGATGACGCTGATGATAGTATCACCCCAAGTGAGAAGTTGCATCGAGGCCGAGAGGAAGGGCTTGCTGGAGCTCAAGGCGTATGTCAACATCTCCAACTCCGATTTTGTCTATGATTGGCCTAATAACAAAGACAGCGACTGTTGCAGATGGGAAAGAGTAAAGTGTAATCTTACAAGCGGGCATGTGATCGGTCTGTTTTTGAATTTTACATTCAATCCTCCTCGCCTACTAAATCTTCCCTTGTTCTATCCATTTGAAGAATTACATACTCTAAATTTAAGTTCATATGGATATAGCAGCTGGTTCGATGATATCCACGGTAATTTCCCTTTTTGATTTGCAGGTTATAAAAGCCTGGGGAAATTGAAAAATCTTGAAGTCCTTGATTATAGTGAAAACTACGTCAATAAAAGTAGTGTCTTACCCTTTTTGAATGCCGCTTCATCGCTCAAAACTTTGGTTCTTCGTGGAAACTCTATGGATGGTATATTTCCAATAAAAGGTACGTCGTTTTATTATGGATTTTTAATAAGCATAAATCAGTTTGATTAGTGTAGGTTATATAGATCGGTATTTTTTAATTATGATAAGTTAGTTACATACCGATAATTTTTTTGACAGATTTCCAATCCTTCTTTTATCTTGTTTATGGCCACATATTTTGCAGAGCTGAAAAACTTGAGAAACCTTAAATTACTGGATCTAAGCAGGAACGAGTTCATTGGCCCATTGCCAGGTAATGACACCAAAGTTTTTCTTGATATATCGGAAAAAAAAGAAAAAATGGATCTTGAAAACTTCTGTAGTTCTCTTTTCATGAATCTTTGCCTTTACTACAGACATGGCGAATTTTCATAAACTTGAAGGCTTGGACTTGAGCAATAACAAATTTTCTGGATCACTGGAAAAGAAAGGTATGTTAGCATCAATCAATCTATTTATATATTTTTGGTACTATTTTAGGGACAATTTCAATAATACACCTCCTCAGTGTATTCCTCAAAAAATTTTCCTATTGATATCTTTTTTACCAAAAAAAGTTATTTATATTTTTGTATTCAAGTTAGTTGATTTAAAATTAGAGGAATAACTTAAAATATGAGTAAGTTTTTATTCCAAAGTTAGTGCATACAAATTAAGTTAAAATTTAATTTCCATTTATAAGTTTTAGAATTCCCATATTAGCTAGGAGATTTGAGTCGTCATCACGATATTAAATTTATAGTATTATTAGAAGCAAAAACCAGTGATGCACTGTGGGACAAACATTTAAACTGTGGTATTTTAGTTTTTAGATACTAATTGTCCATTTTGATTTCTTTTATCATTGCATGATAACATGTAATAACTACTCTCTCAGTTCCATAATATAAACAATTTATGAATTTTTTTGTGTCCAAATATAAGCCGTTTTCACAATTTAATGTAACTTTTACTTTATAGGATATTGTGTGATGGATTATATCATGCAGCTTTTTGTTCAGGATTGGTTAAACTATATTTTGCTGATATATTATATTCCATCTGTTTCACAATGTATAATGTTTTAGATTTTTTGCTTGTTCCATAATATATGATGTTTTAGAATGTTTAAGGTACTTTTAGTTAATTAATGTTAGCAAACTACAAATTTCAAGAACTATTTATTACAATTAGTTGAATTCTTGAACTTCTATTGGTTAAAATTTATAAAAAAGTGATTTGTGTAAGAAAACTTTGTATTAATTGTTAAGCAATAAATGTTTCTTAAACTGTGTAAAAACTCTAAAAAATCTTACATTGTGGAACAGAGGGAGTATGAGATACTTTATTCAATAAAAGTAGTTCTCTTATTTTGTTTGTTTTAGCAAAACTGATTATATTATGAAATGGATGGAGTATAAGTTATAAAGAAATAAACTTTCTAATCTTCTCAGGTGCTTTCATGTGATTGTTACAGGAATTTGTCAACTGCAAAATTTGTTGGAGCTTGATCTGAGTAAAAACAAATTCACTGGTCCATTTCCTCAGTGTTTTGATAGCCTAACCCAACTCCAAGTTCTTGATATCTCTTCAAACCTATTCAGTGGGACGCTTCCATCTCTTATCGGCAATCTTGATTCTCTAGAGTACTTATCTCTATCAGATAACGAGTTTGAGGGTTCCTTCTCTTTCGATTTAATCGCCAACCTCTCGAAGCTCAAGGTGTTCAAACTTTCATCAATAACTAGTTTGCTGCATGTGAAAGCTGAAACCTCCTTGCAGCCCAAGTTTCAGCTGAGTGTCTTAGAACTACAGAATTGCAACTTGGAAACATTTCCAAGCTTTCTTCAATACCACAAGGATTTGCGTGTAATCAACCTCTCCAAAAACAAGCTGACTGGATCATTCCCCTCATGGTTTCTAGAGGAATATCCCAAACTCCGGGTTTTGCTTTTGCAGAACAACTCTTTCACCATGCTTCAGTTGCCAAGACTACTACTAAACCACAGTTTGGAGTTCTTGGATGTATCAACCAACAATTTTGATCAACGGCTTCCCGAGAATATATACGGGAACGTGGAAGGTACCTTGCCAAGCACTCTTTTTCCTCTTTTTCTCCGTTTCAAATAATCTCTTGGAAGGTACCTTGCCAAGCACGCTTTTCAACATACCTATCATGAAAATATTGGATCTTTCTGGAAACAAGTTTTCAGGGAACTTGCCTACGCATTTCAATGGTCAGTACATGAGTCTCTTGTACTTCAACGACAACGAGTTCACTGGAACGATCCCAAGTACATTGATCAAAGATGTCTTGGTGCTCGATCTGCGAAACAACAAATTATCCGGACCTATCCCGCCATTTGTCAACAACCAGTCCATCTTCTCTCTTTTGCTGAGGGGTAACGCATTGACAGGTCAGATTCCTACTGAGCTATGCGGTCTAAGAAGCATAAGGATCTTGGATCTTGCCAAGAACAGACTGAATGGGTCTATACCATCATGTCTCAATAAGATATTACTTGGAAGGAGCGCGGAGTATGATGATGAGAATGGCTATATAGAAAAATATGAACCAGATAATACAAGACATGAAGTGTATTCTCGGCTGTTGGTTTTACCAAGTGAGTATTCTCCACAATACACTAGCTATTTAAGGTTTATAGTTGAGTTTTCATCGAAGAGTAGGTATGAGTCTTACACTCCAGAAGGTTTGGAGTTTATGTTTGGGCTGGATCTGTCCAGTAATGAACTCAGTGGTGAAATCCCAAAAGAGCTTGGGGATCTTCAGGGTGTACGTGCGTTGAATCTGTCTCATAATTCTTTGTCAGGTCTAATACCTGAAAGCTTCTCTAATCTAAAAGACATAGAGAGCATTGATCTTTCGTTCAACATGTTGCGCGGATCGATACCTCGAGATCTAACCAAGTTGGACTATATGGTTGTATTCAATGTCTCGTACAACAACTTGTCAGGCTCCATTCCAAGTCAAAGGAGATTTTCTACATTGGATGGTACCAACTTCATTGGTAATCCCCTTCTCTGTGGATCAGCTCTAAACAAAAGTTGTGATGATAACATCAACAACAGTATCGATGAAGAAACTGCAATCGATATTGATATGGAGATTTTCTATTGGACCCTCGCAGCTACCTATGTTGCAACATGGATGGCATTTATTGTGTTTCTTTTCCTTGATTCACCTTGAGCATGGTTTCGCCGTGTTGATGCTTTTATCAGTTTGTTCAAATGTGTTTGATCTGGTGTAATCTTCGTTCGTATTCAAGTTTCTTTGTAGGTCAAATTTTTGTTCGTATGCACTACTGTATACAGTATTTATGTTTTTGGAAATGTTTCAAATTTGATCCTAACGCATTTTCTAAACAAAAGAACTTCAAACTACTCGAAACAAACTAATTTTGAGTTTTTATAGTCACATTTTGATCCTAATGTTTGGTAATTATGTACACAGATGAAATGGCGCAAACCTCTACACTTTAAAAAAATCAACAGAGTTGCGCTCATTTCTCTCCACTTGCGTTCCTTAGTCTCTACAGTTGCATTCAATTGCTTGGAACACAAACTTCTTTATACACTCCTCATCCTACTACTCATTCCTTTCCAATACCAAGTTCTTCAGACTCCATTAACGCACCAGACGCATCGAGCTCTTCATCAATCGGGAGTGTACGTTTCGAACCATCCAAAGCAACACCAAGAACAATGTTCTCCTCTAGCAACGAACTGGTACCGGAACCACCATTATCTCGACCTTTCTGATCTCCGCTGCTCTTTTCGTTCCCTTGTTTCGCTTTTGGTTTCAATGTCTGCTCTGTTGCGCCTTCACCATCAGAAACCTCGTCCTTCTCTGCTTTATCATCAGACTCTCCCACGATCTCTTTCTTCTTCTCTTCCGACTTTTGTTCTACTGTTTGATCCGATGTTGAGGTTGTTGTACCTTTAGTGCCTGTGCTGGAGTTGGAGTCAAGAGCTGCTTTAGGTTTCTCCTTTTTGGCGTTTGAAACCGAAACTGATCCATTGTTTTCTGTTTCACTATCAGATTCGCTGTTGATTTTGTACGACGGTTCAATCAGCATGAATCGACGGTTCATAGCAGCTTGATTGTAGACTATGTCTGAAAATGCTGCGCTGTCCACTTCAGCCTCATGACGCATTCTCTGAACCGTACGAATGGGAGTTGCTAGGCGTGCTCCATGATGCCTGATAACTGTGAGAAGATCCAAGAGTACTGCTTCCTATTCAAAACACAAATTTTAATGACATATAATAAGGTTTATCATGATACATATCCCCAAAATGTACACGCATGCTTGATATGAACACTGCATCCGATTCATAGGAGAAACGCACAATTCGAATGACATAAATCAGCAGCCGAAAAGATCTACCACAACAGCTATGAGAAGTGTCTTCTTTATTAACTTGTACATACCTTAACACAGAGGTATTCTTCAAAACGTGAAGTCTTTACAAAACAGGATATCAGGATCTGCAACAATATTAGACATAGATATGAGATCTGAATATAGCGTGAAACAAAAACATATTAAACTAATAAAGGTCGAGTGAAAAGGCATCTTCTTACCCTAAGGGCTTGGTTTTCTGGATCTACTTCCTCCAAAAAGACTCTTCTGTGTATTTTTTGCTGCTCGATTTGAGGATTTTTAGACAAAACCTTACGCATATCAGCCACAATGATCTGCAAAGATGGAAATTTATACATTAACTTGTTACATTAAGAAAAGAAAAAAAGATGTTCCTCACATTAATCTTGCTGACGTCAAGATGACTGATGGAAAGATGTGTTTTGATCCGCCAATGTGTCTTTTGAGTTAGATTCCTCACAATATTTACAGTAAACTGCTGGTTCGGAATATGAACAGCTTCACGGTCATCACCTCTGATAATTGTAGGTGACCACCAACCAACTTCCTGAAAAAAGAAGCTCACATGTCAAAAACAAGTCTACTGTTTGAAGCCAGTGACTTGGATACGAATAAAAAATTCTAAGAGACCAAAGCTAAAATGACAAGTTAAGAGACCTCTACAGTGCCAGAAACTTCATAGCCTCCTATCTTGGTCTGGATCCACTCGTTCCGTACAAAGGGCCGTGTAGCATGAATCATAATGCTTGAAAGAAAGTTTGTAAGTATCTGCACCACCCACAAAAAGTATTACTGTCCCACTGTCAAAAAAGAATTTAGCATGCCAAAGTTTTCTCAAAAAGAAAGGACCTCACCTCACGACCAGCAAGAGTGATCAATACTGTCCCCAGACCCCCTGCGGTTAGCGACTTTTGGGCAGAGATACCCAACAGCTCCAAAAACAATGCGACGGCACCAACCCACGCCATAGTGTAGACAGCTTTTCCAGCAAAACTGAAACCCATCTGGCATAACAATAAACAGATAAACCTAAGCTGGAGGGTCGCGTAAAAGATATGATCATCTAGTATCAAGAACCACTTTGTACATCTATGTCATTTTGTTCCTTCAATACAACTAAAATGAATGAATTCACAAAGAAAAAAAACTCGTTTAAGATAAGGAAGACATCATTATCCGACTGAGTTTTTGTACATCTATGTCGAATGAGTTTATTCCTTCAGAACAACTAAAATAAATGAATTCACAAAAAGAAATCTCGATTAAGATAAGGAGACATACATTTCTGGTATCAGCAAGATTATTTGTCTCCATGAAATACTTCTGTGCCTGCTGAACTAAGCTGCAGAAAAGACGTATTGTATAACATGCTCAGTAACTGAAATACCATTTGCCACTCAATAAAGTTCAATGTACTTGATATACTTAAGGAAGCTCAATGTACACAGAAACCCTTTATCACCTTGATAAACAGTAGGCAAATGCCAACACTGATGACATGGACCGAACAAAGGTAAGAAGGCGTTGTTTAACAATCTGGCTGGGACTTGAAGACAATACGATTGGGTCCAATGTTCTGAGACACAATTCCATATTGGTTTTAGTAAAAATATGTATTAGGTAAACTACTAAAGAAACAAAAATAATGTCGACCTGCATAAAAGAAGTGCTCCACTCCAAAGCAGCAAAGGCTGAAGGTATGACACAACAATGTATTGCATGCTGCTCTTGTGTGAATTTGCATCATTCCCCTTCTGAAATTAAAGTTGCGTTCACTTAAAATAAACTATAACAAGTACTCTAGGAACCGAAAGTGAAGAACTATATAAGAGCGAATGACATCTCACCTCAGAAAAGGTAGCTCTAGTAAGACGCAGAAGGGGTCTAATCCCCCATGTCGCAAATGCAAGAACCCCAACTGCTGGAATAAGTTTCATCAAATGAGGATTTCCGCGTAAAGCATCATATGCCCTGATATCAATGACGAAACATTTCAGGTAAAGTAGCTTCAATAACTAAAAAGTTGTAAATGTAAATCCTATTCCAGTCTGGTCTCTTATGGAGTGCATATAACCTTGTGAATACTACTGCAGTTGATTTAACAATGGGACCTTCATTTCCACTCCCTGGAAAGAGAGCTGCTCGGCAAACGAATGCATTACACCTAGATGATACAGGGGCTTTAGAACCACCCAAGCTCTCAAGAAGCTGGAGACTCCAAACGTCTTGTCTCTAAGAAAACAGGAAACACATGAATCTAGGTTCAAGATGAGAAGATTATAACAAACACATGGCTAACAATTATAGCAAACTTGAATACAATAGAAGCAGACACACAAGCATATATACGGAAGCTAGTGACAAAAAAATTCCTAAAGTTAAAGGCAGAGTCACTAACAGATACACGAGGCAAGAAACTAAACCATTAAACAATGCTATGAGCACAGATGATACCGTGGCACATGATGAAAGACCTGTCCGTGTCAGATACACACGATTTTTACCAGCAACACTCTGCAGGAAAAAAGATAAATTTTAAGTAAATCAAACGCACGAACTGATGAAAAAAAGAGAGTAATATTCAATCACAACACTACGCACATTATGGAATCCAGAAGCTTCATGGATCTTATGAACATTCAGATCATGGGGCAATGGTAGAGAGACAGTACGCATCATCATCATCCCAAGTGTAGACAACAACGCTTTGAGCAAAAAAAAATCAACTAAGCTCCTTTATACAATCACTCAACGGAGCAACCTGCACAAAATCAAGAATTATCTTCGAAGAACATCGAACAGCAATATGATCTAACTTCACACAAGCATCTCATAGGAACGCTGCATTAGCAATCCACATGAGACGAAATTCTTACAATTTACTGAAAATCCGTACTAATGAAGCCGATTTTGCCTAATCAAAGCAAGATTACACTCCGATTTCAAACTACTCCTTCGAATCTTTCTAGTTTCTGGCAAAATTTTAGCCCCAAATTAACCAGAAGTTACCTACGGCGTACGAAAATGAGAAATCGAGAGAGATCGGAAGCAATGCACATGAGACGATTCGTCTCAAATTATCGAAAATTCGTACTAATCAAACCGATTCTTTGTCTAATCAAAGCAGGATTACAATCCGATTTCACATTACTCCTTCGAATCCTTCTAGTTTCTGGCAAAATTGAAGCCACAGCTCAAGACTATAATTCGCGAATTGTTACCTGACGTATGGAAACGAGAAAGCGAGAGAGATCGGAAAGCAAACGAAGAGAAGCAAGAAGCAGCTCAAGAGATGTTCAGATCAGTGGATGATATCAGAGAGAAACGGCGAAGAAGAGAGCTTCTTCTTCTTGGTTGTTACTTTCTTCTTCCTTCTGAAAACAAACCACCAGACATGCCTATAACTAACGTGCGCCAGGAGTGGACGTCTCCTTCTCTCTCTAAAATACGCGTGTTATGGTTTTCGCAATTCGCAGCCTCATCGAGAGAGTTTTTGGATAGACGGAAAATGATGATGATGAATTTCGATTTTTCGTGGTCCCGCAAAATTACAATTTTCACCAATCGAAAAAATTTGGACTCTTATCCAGATCCTCCGCATGCTTCCCACGTGATAAATAAATTATGGACCCTCGGATTATATGTATTGGTCCACCGACCAAGCTATTTGAGTAGGCCCATTTTTGGAGCTCAAGCCCAATAAACATATTTTCAATTGGGACACATGATAACCAAAATATTTTGAGGGGCATTTTATTTTCTTAGTGGGACCCATCGAGACGTTGCGATGGCGACGAAGTCAAAATCTCTCTCAGCACGCCGGTCCTTGCCGCGCACTCCCGCCGGAGCTATGCCAGAACCTAATTTCTCGACGCGTACTCGCTCTGGATCTTTGCCGAAACCTAAATCCTCGCGGCGCACTCGCTCCGGAGCTATGCCGGAACCCATTTCCTCGCCGCGTACCTGCTCCAGATTTGTGCCGGAACCTGATTCCCCTCAAGGAACCGACGGGATTCCCCAGACTCCGTTTTCATTCGGTGTCTTAACTCCCATCGCCGGAACCCTAAAATCCGTCTCCTTATCCGATTGGTGGCTAACGAAGAAGGCAAATGTGAAGAAGGGTCTCTGCGTTTCAGGATTCGAATCGAAACGCGGATCTGAAGTGAGGCTATTTTCATCAGGAGCGATCTCAAAACGACATGATTGTAACACTCTCGAGACATTGGATGGGATTGAAGTTTGTATCAGCGGATTCATCAACCGATCGCGTAGTTTGCAGAACGGAGTCTCGCCTGAGGTTTGCAATCGTTTTCTTCTAGGGTTTCCGTATAACTGGGATGATAACGATGAAGAATCAGTAGAGGAGAAGAAAGGTTTGAACTTTTCGTTTGATGATGTTCCTGTGAATCGGTTTCATGATCTTCTACTGAGCTCTTCTTCTTCTTGCCTGAAAAATAAGATCTTTGATGATGTAGTTGAGAGTTTAAGAGACTTAGTTTCTCTTCCTCCTAGTACAGAGAAGAAATGTGAGGAATCAGAGAAGGAATGTGAGAAACCAAGAGTGGGTCATGATGATGAGAGTGTGGTTCCAAAAGTTGTGGGAGTGAAGACTAGAGGTATGATGAAACGGAGAGAAGACAATGAAGCTTCAATTGGTGAAAGAGTTCACAAGACAGTGTCTAAGAAGAAGAGATCAAGAGAGAAGAGTAAAAGGTGACAACTTTCTACTGAATTAGCTTAGGTTCAAGCTTTAACTCCAACTTAACCATTTGTATAACCATGAAATTGCAATCTCTGTTGTTATTTTTGGCTACATTCTTCAGTGTGTTACCTTTTGGATCTGTAAAACAAGTTTTTTAATGTTTGTATTTGGTCTTATATAAGAAAAAAAAACATATATTGGATTGTGTTTGTACCAAAAAAATGAAGTAAATGATGTTCCAAAATTAGGCTATTTAGAATTTGATAAACCATAGTCCATTCACACAAATGATTCATTTTCACAATGCTAAATGAAGATAAGAAGGAAATGTGAAATTTGTTTATTTGATTGGTCTTATCTTTTTTGTTATTTGTCAAAGGGAACATCCTAAAAATGAGGTTGATCAAAGGATTCACCAAAATACTCGGACATGTCCATTACACACGGACAAAGGCTTACTTCTCTCTTCCTTGTCTATCAAGTCTCAAAAGTTCCAAACTTTACACCTACAACATCACATTGATATTGATGATGAATCTGCCATGTTTGAGCCTTCTTCTTCTTCCTTAGAACAAAAAATATGTTGCAGAGAGCAGCGAGCAATGCGTATTCATGGTGGTGGGCCAGCCACATCCGCACAAAGCAATCCAAATGGCTCGAACACAATCTTCAAGGTACGTTCCATTTTCTCCTTAACAATGTTCTTGATCTTGTGTGTATACATGATTAAACAAAAGAACATTTCTCTTCTGGTGTTAATTGGTGTAGATATGGAAGAGAAAGTAGAGTATACTCTTAAGATCATAGATGAAGATGGAGACACATTTGCCAAAAGAGCTGAGATGTATTACCGTAAAAGGCCAGAGATTGTCAATTTCGTCGAAGAGGCTTTTAGATCATACCGTGCATTAGCCGAACGCTACGATCATTTATCAAGAGAGCTTCAAAGTGCAAACCGCACAATCGCCACAGCTTTCCCTGAGCATGTTCAGTTTCCTCTAGAGGATGATGATGAAGATGGAAATAGAGATTACGAAGGAAATAAACCGCCTAAGCATCTTCATCTAATCCCCAAGGGAAGCAACATCCCTGAAGTCCCTGAGATTCCAAAGAAAGAATTCAGGAGTCCGTCTATGATGTTGTCAAGAAAAGGACCGGCTGGTCTTAAAAGGACAGTGTCCACTGCAATGGCGAAGCGGGAAGCTGCGGCGATGGTGAGCTCGGGGTTGAGTAAAGAAGAGGGCTTGGAGGAGATTGATAAGCTTCAGAAAGGGATCTTGGCGTTGCAGACGGAGAAGGAGTTTGTGAGAAGCTCTTATGAGCAGTCTTATGAGAGGTATTGGGATTTGGAGAATGAAGTGACTGAGATGCAGAAGAGGGTTTGTAGTTTGCAAGATGAGTTTGGTCTTGGCGCTGCGATTGATGATAGTGAAGCTAGGACGTTGATGGCGAGCACTGCTTTGAGTTCTTGTAAAGTGACACTTGGTAGGCTTCAGGAGAAGCAGAAGCAATCTGTTGAACAAGCTGAAGTTGAGAAAGAGAGGATCATTACTGCTAAAGAGAGATTTTATGCATTGAGGAACAGATTTGAGAAGTCAGATGATTATTATGTTGCCAAGACAGAAGCACAAGAAGAACAAGAACAAGAAGAAGAAGCTGATGTAGTTCAAGAACCGAGCTATGAGTCTGAGAGAGAAGAGTCAAACGAGAATCTGACTGTTGTGAAGCTTGCGGAGAAGATTGATGATCTTGTGCAGAGAGTTGTTTCGTTGGAGACAAATGCTTCTTCTCACACTGCCTTGGTGAAGACGTTAAGAACAGAGACAGATGAGTTACATGAACATATCCGCGGTCTGGAGGAAGACAAGGCGGCTCTTGTTTCGGATTCGACGGTTATGAAACAGAGGATAACCGTTCTTGAAGACGAGCTGAGTAAAGTGAGAAAGCTGTTCAAGAAAGTGGAAGATCAGAACAAGAATCTACAGATTCAGTTCAAGGAAGCTAATAAGACTGCTGATGACTTGTCTGGCAAGTTACAAGATGTGAAGATGGATGAAGATGTTGAAGGAGGCGGAATCTTCCAGAGAGTTGTTTCAGGATCAGAAGATTCTCACTCGAAGGAGACACAAATGAGGAAGAAAGCTGCTGCCGTTTTAGTCAAAGAGAGTGAAGAAGAACACAGTGAAGGAGGTCAAGAAGAGAAACGTGAGGTTAAAGACTCTTTCGCTTTATCAGAAACAGCAAGCACTTGTTTCGGGACAGAAACAGAAGATCTTGTAACGGAAGACGAAGATGGAGAGACACCAAACTGGAGGCAGATGTTACCAGACGGCATGGAGGATAGAGAGAAGGTTCTGTTAGATGAGTACACATCAGTACTAAGAGATTACAGAGAAGTAAAGAGAAAGTTAGGTGAAGTTGAGAAGAAGAACAGAGAAGGTTTCTTCGAGCTAGCATTACAGTTGAGAGAGCTCAAGAACGCTGCTGCTTACAAAGACGTAGAGATTCAGTCTCTACGCCAAAAGCTCGACACGCCTGGGAAAGACTCTCCGCATCAAGCAGAAGGAAACAACAGTTTGGAACATGATCAAGGACAGAGAGAGAGCGTGAGCATTTCGCCGACTTCTCTCTTTTCGGTTTCCACTACGCCTCATCATCAAGGAGGAGATGTTAAGAGAACACCAGGGAGAACAAAGTCAGCTGAAGTTAGAGTGAAGTTTGTAGATGTTAACGACAGTCCAAGAAGCAAGATACCAACTGTGGAAGACAAAGTTCGTGGTGATATCGACGCGGTGTTGGAAGAGAATCTCGAGTTCTGGCTAAGATTCAGCACGTCTGTGCATCAGATACAGAAGTACCAGACAACAGTTCAGGATCTGAAGTCAGAGCTGTCGAAACTGAGAATCGAAAGCAAGCAGTCGCAAGAATCTCCAAGAAGTGGTGGTAATAACTCTGCAGTTGCATCAGAGGCAAAACCTATCTACAGACATCTCAGAGAGATTCGAACAGAGCTACAGTTGTGGCTAGAGAACAGTGCGGTTCTTAAAGACGAGCTCCAAGGAAGGTATGCATCACTAGCTAATATCCAAGAAGAGATTGCGAGAGTCACGTCTCAGTCAGGTGGTAGTAAAGTAAGTGATTCAGAGATTAGTGGTTACCAAGCTGCAAAGTTCCATGGAGAGATACTTAACATGAAACAAGAGAACAAAAGGGTCTCGACCGAGCTTCAGTCTGGTCTTGACCGTGTAAGAGCGATGAAAACCGAAGCGGAGAGGATTCTGAGTAAATTGGAAGATGATCTTGGGATCACAAGTGCAACAGAGGCAAGAACAACTCCGAGTAAGAGCTCGTCGAGTGGGAGACCGAGGATTCCATTACGGTCGTTCTTGTTCGGTGTCAAGTTAAAGAAACATAGTAAACAGAAGCAATCTGCGTCATCTCTCTTCTCCTGTGTGAGTCCATCACCAGCTCTGCAAAAACAGTCTAGTTACATTAAACCTGGAAAGCTCCCTGAATAAATCATCTCTTTGTTATATTTGTGTTTTTCAGTTTCTTGTTTTCTAGCTTTTTTCTTGTACCAAAACTATTTGGCTAATGAAATGGAAATTAAAACTGTTTTCTAGACTTTGAAATATATTTAAATTCTCATTTTACTAATTAGTAGTAAGTACTACTGTACATCATCGTACTCCGATCTTGAGTCCTAAGAAAAAAAAACGTAAATGGAAAGCACTAAAGCAAAGCAACAACTATTTCTGCAAATGAACTATGAACTCTTCTGCCCGGTCCCTGCCACGGCTGCAACATCTGGACTTTTTCCTTTACTTGCTTCATCTTTGGGATTTGATTCAGCCGCAGCTCGAACGATAGGTGAAACTGTGGTACTACTCTCTTTCTCAGGTGGTAGCGGTACTAGGTTTTTCAAAGGCATAAGACTA